TGCTTTACTTTCTTGTGAAGTACATTATTAATATTCTCCCCATTATAAATGAAGAAAACAAAGCACGGAGTCAAAATCATCCCAACAGAGACAGATTATATATTTGGTGTTCGTTTCATTCTTTTCTTGGTCCATTATTTAGTACATACTTCACTCCCTACTCTAGCTTTCTGTTTCCACTGTGGAACATCTCATCTGTCTACTCCTCTCCACTTAGACGATGTGTGTTTATAACTGCCAGTCTCTGTATGACCTTATCACCCCTCAGATTGGAATCCTCTCTTATCTAGGGTCTCCATCTGGCAAACACCTGTTCATTTTCAACCCATTTTAATCATTACCTCTTTTGTGAAGCCTTTCTCAATTCTCTCATGCAAAATAGGTGCCAGATCAATGTGGAAGAAAAACCATGTACAAAGTTCTATTTTAGTTTGAATCACAATGCATGTGACATTTATTTACCTACCTAAGTTCCTTTGTCTTACCTCGAGTTTCTAAGCCAGCCACCATTGTGTAAAACAGGTGTTTCATACATATTTGTAAACTTATTATTGCTGACTCCTGAATAAAGCTGCATTGTTTTACAATGGATATTTTAAAAGACAAAAATGAATCATTTAAAGAATTATCCACTAATTCTTTTTCAGAACATGAAAGATGTTGATTTCATTTTTGCACTGAGAAAATTAAGATAGGAATTCTGATATAAAATAAAAATGTTGCTATCACAATGTGAGAATATTAAAACATTGAAATCAGTCTGCTTTTACAAGTGACAGCGGTTTCTTCTTGGACCCTTGATGTCACAGTGCTTTAAATTTCAGCAGCTTATTGGTTCCTCAGTTGAATATTTGTGTAAATACATGTGGTTTGTGATTATCCTCTAACCCAGAGTTTCCATGACTACTGCAAAGCTTTTGTTGTTTTGTTTTTGTTTTGTACTGGAAATTGAACTCAGGGCTTTTGCTTGCCAACCAGGCGCGGTAACCCTAAGCTATATTCCCAGCTCAAAGTTTTCATCTTATTTTCAACTATTTCAAGCATTCTTCCTAAGAACCAGTTGCCTTTCTTACAGTAATAGACCATCTTCCAAAACAGACCCTGCCCATGTGACTGATAACTGTATAATTGGCAGCTGGTAATGTTTTCTCTAATCCTAGTATCCAGAATCCCTGTAAACAAACAATCCACCAATATATAGAAAAAGCACACGTTACTATTTTCTGGAATGTACCAAATGCATTTGAAAATTACCATTCTAGAACATCTGTAATAGTATTTCAATGCCTGGCTTAGTGTATTTAGCCTACATTACTGGCATTTTTCTTCCATAAAGTATTTAAATTTTGATCAAGACTGCCAGAGTAAGCAGTGCATAAGTGTTTCTTTTCCTTATGGCTTATGGCTTTTCCTTATGGCTTATGGTTTGAAAAGTAACAATGTGAATCTGGGTATGTTCATGCATGCCTGTAACTACAGAACTCAGGAGGCTGAGGCAGGAGAATCACTAGAAGTTCAAGGCCAGCTATGCCAACTAGCAGCCATGGCAGTGAGGCAACTTAGTAAGATTCCATTGTAAAAAATTAAAAATGTATATATATATATATATATATATATATATATATATATATATATATATTCCTGAGGGGGTAGCTTATTCTGAAGGCCCTGAGTTCAGTCCCTGTACTGTCAAAAAGAAGTGCCGGTCATTAATTTAAAATATTATAGTTATAAAATGAAAAACAGATGACTGCTTGTGACATCTCATAAGTATTAACTCTGGATTTTTTAGACTTTTTCAAAAATATATAACACGTAGGTGTTGGTCTAGAGCTAATATGTCCAGTACTTTATTACCTTTGATAAAAAAAATTGTGCCTTCATTGAACAGAACCAGGTGAAATTGGAGAGTAGTCATGTCAGCATCGAGACAGTTAAACAGTGCAGTGTCATCATTGTTTATTTTCTTTATCTTAAAGTGGTATTTTCATTGGCTCTTGGTCATTGAAACCTTGAAACCTTTTTTTTTTTTTTGTCTTTTTCTTTTTTATCGGTACCGGGGATCGAACTGACGACTGCCTGCTTGCAAGGCAGGCACTTATGCCGCTGAGCTAAATCCCCAGCCCCTTGAAACCATTTTTAAGAAAGGTTAATTAAAAGAGTAAGTTGTGGGGCTGGGGATTTAGCTCAGCGGCATAAGCACCTGCCTTGCAAGCAGGCGGTTGTGAGTTCAATCCCTGGTACCGATAAAAATGAAAAAGACAAAAAAAAAAAGTAAGAATAAGTTGTACATTTGTTAAATGAAAGAAAGAAATTGTTAAAATTTTTTTCTACTGGGTAAGATTGTGTCCAACATCAAGAGATGGCACAAACTAAATAGTTAAACATCTACTAAATGCCTAAGTAATTTTAGACCAAATGTGCATCCGTATTTTACCATCTGTAAAAATGAAAGATATAAACACAACCCAATATTTCTAATATGGTAGCATTTGAGATGTTTGTAAACATCATAAAAACAGATAGAAGAGCCAGAATTTGTGTTTAAAAATGCGTGAATCAGCACATGGATTCCAGATTTATTGCTCCAGAGTAGAGGCCAATGAAGAAGAAGTTTCTCAAAGACGTTGTCTGAAATGAGGTGGATTTGTGTTCTTCTGTGTGATGCACTCTCTGAGACCCGTGTGGAAATAAAAGAAATAAGCTTTGAAGGTGTTTAAGCGGGGGAAGGGGACCTCTTATCTGGTCTTCTTATAGCACTTAACACACATAAAAAATAAACGAAGTTTGGCAGGATGACTATTAAATTCTTATTTAATGAGATCCTTCCAGAGTTTATAAAAATAGTTGCCTATTTCATATATACATATTATGAATGTTTTATAAATAAAGGAAGTTTTGCACAATATGGTCGGTGATGTATCTCTCTCAGTCACTCACTTTCTCATTCCAGAAAAGCACACTCACTCAAAGATACTTTGGGGCTGGGGATTTAGCTCAGTGGCATAAGTGCCTGCCTTGTAAGCACGCAGTCGTGAGTTCGATCCCTTGTAGCAAAAAAAAAAAAAAAAGATACTTTGGAAAATTAATGAATCACGTCTTAAAGTCATATCTGACCTACACAGAGAGCAATATAGAGGGTTGCAATTTCCTACACCATCTCAAACTCCAGCCACATTCACAATATCCACACAAAGAGATTTAAAAATGGCACCATGCTCTGGGTATGTCCCATGGCCCTACTGCTCTGAGGAATTTGACTCCTGGAGTCACAGACTGCTACCACTCCGGGACAACCAAGTCAACCAAGATAGTGCCTAACTCAGAGTAAAGAGCTAGAGTCTCTTCCCAGGATTCTCTGTGCCACACTACTTTTGTTAGAGATTTAATCTTTTCTCCTCTTGGTTCTATACCAATAAAGCTGCCTTTGCTCCTCCTTTGGGGAAAGGAGAACTTATATTATTTCACTACTGAAGTTAATTTTCCTTTGAGGTGTCCTTCTCTGACTAAAGAATTCTTCCCATTTTCTATCAGCTCCTCTTTTCTCCAGCCAGACCTCCTTGAGTAAATCTTCCTATGCTGGCTTGCTTTCTGTAGTCTGGTCTACTCAAATTCCTTCCTGCCCCACATTCTCTTCATCCTCACTCTTGCACCTGAGAATAAAAAATACATTGAATTAATGAACATTGTCTCAGTTTCTCTTACTTTAAGAATAATTACTTGTTGGACGCTTCCCTCACAGTGTATCCTTTCTATCAGAGGCATATTAGTGACACTTGTGTGCATTCCCATAGGTGCTGTATGATCTCACTGCCTATCAGAGGGCCTAAGGTACTCAATTACTTTACTAAGTACTTACTAATAATGAGGTTGTTTGGCAGAAGAGATTGCAGACTGCAATCATACAGCATAGTTAGCATTCAGCTTTTGAACCAGCCTACCAGGCCATTCTGCACTGCCTTTTGCTCACATGTAAAATGGAAGTAATAATGTACTGCTTAGAGAACGGTGTGCACCACCTAACAGGCACTAAAAGATAACAGTTTCTGTTGCTTCTTACAACATAAATAAGTAAATAAACAAAAGGGACGTTATCTGCATTTGGCTCTCTGACGGACTCTTGTGAAACTCCTGGACTTCTAGACAGAAGTATGAGTTTGCTGATTTCAGGAACTCCAATTTTCCAAGACTGCTGAGTCATCCCCCCCACCTGCTTTCTAAATATCTGCTCCTGAGTTCCCCATTATCGCTAGTCTGTAGGTTTGTGGACCTTGAACCTCTGTTTTCTCCTATGGCACTGATCAACTGAAGTTTACCTCAACCACATAAGTCTTGGTGTTGTGGGTTACTAAACTGTGTTGTGTTACCCTATAATGCTGTCAGTGTTCCACACTTAGGTCTCAGAACCATGGAGGTTTCTCACACCCAGTGATCTTCTATGTCAAATCCTTAGAGCCACTGCCTCAAGACAATGATAATCAGCCAGCTGGTAGAAAAGGGCAAAGACAAAGTCAAACATAAATCCAGCAGCTCAAACCTTAGTGGTTGAAGGAATGGCAAACCTGTTCCATAGAGAAGGATGATACAAATTTAATAAAATCTGTATTGGATCCTGATTCAATCTTCTTAGCTACTAACTACGGAAAAAATAAGTAAAAAACTAACTAAATAGTGCTAACAAAAAGCCAAAATGACTTTAGATTTAAAGGATAACAATAATATTTATCAAATATTAAAATATGTAATCTTATAATGTCTCATGGATTTTAAGCTATTTAAATTATGTTAGCACAAAGTCATTTTATTTAAAAATTATTCTCCTTCTCTTTGAAATGGGTTTACCCACCATTTAAAAGTGTTATTTCTCTACCTATATTTTAAACATTCCTTCTAGTTAACAAAAAATAAAATCTTCTGTGAAATAATCCCTCTGCAAAATTTGTTCTTTTGTGTAACTGATTGAATTTCCCTTAACAAAATGAAGTGTTCTGCTGTTACAGCCTCACTGTTAGAAATGAAGAACGAGGGGAAAGTACAGGAAGACCCGTCCACACCACAAAAATGGAGAGCATCCAGGTCCTAGAGGAGAGGTGAGTGGGCATCCACGGTGTAAGTGCCGCTTGGGTTTCTTTGCTACTCACAGCTGCGAAGGCTTGAGTGTTATCTCTCCGTTGAGGGTGCTGCTCAAAACCATCTTGTAAAACAGACCCTGACACTGCCTGAGAGCTCTTTTGTGATTGCAGTGGATTTTTGTCAACTTTTCTATTAGCTATGTTTATCATTGCCTAAGATTATCTTTCTCTTTCAAGACGTAAAAAATTACTGCATTAATTAACCCCTAAATTCGCTTTTTTTTTTAACTTATCTTTGTTGACATTATGTTTTTAAGTTCTCTTCATAAAAGTCCAAGCAATATACAAGCTGGGAAGGTTGCCGCACACCTGTAACCCCAGCACTCAAGAGGACAAGGCAGCAGAACCCCGGCACATTCGAGGCCATCCTGGGCTTCATAGTGATTTCAAGTCCAGTTTAAACTACGCAGTGAGACCTTGTCTCAAAAAAAAGCCAAAAATAATCAATGAACAAAAAATAAACATACATACAATAGAGACACTAAATTACTCCAGTCAGTGAGGAAGGGTGCCCAGCTGCCTCCTGACCCCACTTACATCCGAACAGACTGGAATCACCTGACTCCAAAATGAGAATTTGAATGTAATATCTAGGGAATAAAATTAAAATACCATTTGACTACTCATATAATTATAAATGCTTTCTTTCTCTGCAGTTTATACTGGCGAAAAATAAATAAATAAATGCTTTCTTTTTCTGCTTTTCATAAGAGAGTTTTAATAATTAAAACTTTTCAAATTTTAATATTTTTAAGTGAATGAGAAAATTCATACATTATAGGGTACTGATAAATCTACTTCAAATAACTGGTCAAAAGGTTAAGAAAACTTAAGTTGCTAATATCCCTTTGACCAAACATACTTTAGAATTTAAGCAATTCTCATTATGTAAGTATAAAGTCATAATGGAAACAGTATTCATTCTGATTTTCTATAGCCATCTACTTCTTTGTTTATTAGCAAATGTAACACTGACCGGTGGTCTTTGCAGTAGTCACTGAAATCCTGTACACAGATTTCTAAAAGTCCCCAGTGCCATTCTAAAGGCCTTCTGTTTTACAGTGGCATTTTCAGATAAAAGTAAACATGATACATTCTTATTTTACATCCCATTATTAATGCAAAGTGTCTATTAACTGTGAAAAATAAACTGTTTCTTATGACTGGAAAATGGAAATCTATATCACAAAGCAAAGAAAAAAATTTAGTTTGTTCTTCAAGGTAATTGACAGTGTTTTTATCAATTTACAATGCATTGTTAGAGTTGAGACATTTCCAAGATTTATTAAGAATTTATGATGCTTGTGTGATATGGTCATGCCTACTGTGTTTGTCAAGACCCAAAAATAACTCCATCTGGGCAGAATTTACCAGCTAGACTGGACAGAGAGGCAAAGTATTAACCACTAGATGGCAGCATCCAAATAGACGTTTTTACCCACTCTGTTCCATATGTAAACCAGAGGTCAGAATTTTTGTTTGTTTGTTTGTTTTTGGTCTTTTTGAGACAGGGTTTCTCTATAGAATTCAGACTGGCCTTGAACTCGTTTTGAACCTAGTCTACTCTCCAACTGCAGGAGATCCTTCTGTCTCAGCCTCCCAAATACTGGGATTAAAGGTGTGTGCCACCACACCCAGCTCAAAATTGCTTTTGATTACAGCCCTATTCTATTTCTGCAGCCAAAGCCCCACTGCAGATGAAGTCTTATCCTGGTCTCAAAGTTTCGACAAAATGATGAAGGCCCCTGCAGGAAGAAACCTTTTCCGAGAATTCCTTCGAACAGAATACAGCGAAGAGAATCTGCTTTTCTGGCTTGCTTGTGAAGATTTAAAGAAAGAGCAGAACAAAAAAGTCATTGAGGAAAAAGCCAGAATGATATATGAAGATTACATTTCCATTCTATCACCAAAAGAGGTAAAATTCTGGAAAACATTGAGGTGGGCTTCCTAAACCCAGGCATATCCCTGTTGTCCAAATTGAGTTGTGCCTGGGGTTGGTCAGAAGACTTTTTGCGGGGAGGTTGTTGACCTTCAATTCTGAAAATCTCCCTGAACACATTTGAAGGTTAGTTAGTTTCCCTGTGATGCTAGTTAGTTAGTTTCCCTGTGATGTTAGTTTTCCCTTTGATTCTGGCTGAATCTTATGTGGCAGTTTACTTGCTTTTCAGAATTAACACTCTGAAGCCTGTTTAAGCAATTTTCTGTGACTTAAACTAAAGTGGAGGTGAAGAATTTAAGAAGATACCTCTCAAATCTTGATACCCAGATTACTTGCATGAGAAGCACCCTAAGTGCTAAAAAGCAAATTCTTGAGGCCTGTCCAGGACTTTAAATCTGAATTCTTAAAAGACAGCCTAAAAATCTACACTATTAGCAAGCTTGCCATGCACAACACACACACACACGCACACACACACAAACTACTGTGAATGTTTAAATTAAAAATAATATTGTAACAAAACTCATTGTAATGCCCCTCAGAATATTCCCCCTCACTTCCAATTTGTTCTGTACCCCATCATTTTTACCACTTTCTGAAGCAGTTCTTGAAGTCCTTTTATTGTGTCTTTAGTTGTGCTGTCATGACTGCCTTGCTGTGCTGAATTTATTCAAAGCATTTACCTTTCCTGGTAATGCTGACTTTGAAGAAGAGCTAGAAGTTTCATGGTGCCACCTATTACAACATTTCTATAGCCTGCTTTTTTTATTAGATGGCACTCTGCAGCAGTGTTCACCATGTCATTCCTGTTACCAACACTCATAAAAAAGACTTTCAGAGCTAGAAGCTAGAAGGAATGATGGGTTAAGTAACTGGAAGTGAGGGAGAGTATTTGATGGGTATTAACATGTCCACGATGGGGACTTAATTCATATGTCTCACTGACAGGCAGGATTGTACCACTTGTACAACCAGCAGTTCAAACCACTCAGTGGGACAGTCATGGAAATGATTTTACTTACTCTGGACTTTACGTTATTGGAACTGCAAGCTTGTCTTCCCATTGTCAGGATGCATCTAATCAATAATGCACACTTTTAGCCACCAAATAGCACATTTCCATTAACTTTTTAAAAAACCTTTTCTTAAGAAATGTACAGGTGAAGAGAGCTAAAGGCACTTGGTGAGGGAAGGGTTAGCAGGAGGACCAGGTCCTGGAGTCATGGGAGTCAGAGCTCCAGAGGTGATTTTAAGCCCTCAAAATATAACGGCCTCTAGAATGCATTATCTTTTCCACTTCCACCTCCCTTTGCCTTTCGTGTCTGTCCTAAACTACTGAGATGTTTCCTTTCCTATTTACATGTCCCAGACTGGTGCTTTTTTGCCGTTCGGCTTCCACAGACCTTTGGTGCCCATGAACATACCAAAGTCCACTAGAACCAAGCTGTAGTCATCAGTCTTTTGTTCATTGTTTGACACACCCCATCCTAACATTGCTTGTCTTCCTTCCTGATCTGTAAGATGAACTGGCATCCACTTTATCATATACCTAAGCTAGGAATACACTGCGAACTCTCGCTTCTGATGACATTTACATGTCACTGGTATTCCAGAGCACTTCAGTAGCACTGTCTCTACAGAAATGAAAGACTAAATGTACAAAAGATTTTTTTATTTCCTTCACCAATATAGAAAAAGTATTCATAGACACAAAGTATGAAGTATTTTTTCCGTAGTCTCAATATATTTATTATTCTAGAACTTCATATTTCTAACACTTAGTATAATTCTGCATCCTAAAAAAATACAATCTTTAAATTTCTAATTTATCTAGAACATTAGCATCTAACCAACTCTACTTGAATTTATTAGTACTATCCTTTTATTCTTATTTTTATTTTATAGTTGCATTACATGATAAATAGACCAGATGATACTAATGTGCTTCTCTTGTCTATACTTATACAAATTAGGGTCCTTAAGGAGGTTATCTAGCTTGCACAACTCCCTAAACATATAAGATCTATCATCTGAAAGTGATAGTTATCTAAATTACCTATGTAGTCCTTGATACTTCGTATATTTCATTTTAAAATGATGGCTATTCCAATGGTTAAAAATTCTATAGAAAACAGTTTTCTCCATATTAAGCCCATATAACTCCTTTATTTTAATGGTCTCCCTTTTCTCATCTTTAGTTCTTATGTGAAACACTGTGCTGTTGTTCCCATGGATCAATGGAACTTCGCAAAATACTTGACTTTTACGTAAACTCAGATTTTTTTTCTTTGTGCGAAACTAATAGAGTTTTAGCCTAATTTTTTTTATTTTTAAACATAATTTTCACTTAAAAAGTCACTAAAATGTTTCCTAATCAAAAATATGACCTTAAAATTACATAGACTAATATTTCATGTAATAGTGATATTTATTGTTTTATTTTTCTTAATATCTACATTTTGGTTATTGCCTACTCTGTGTTTTCAAAATGCCAGGGAGAAAGAGTGGCAATTCACATTTTTATCATTTTCTATCATGTACTGTTTCATAAGGGAGTTATAAATAACTCAGCATAGAGTCTACATTACTCACCTGGGCCTGGTCATGCGTGTTGTTAATCCCCCACTATGGAGGCTGAGGCAGAAGGACTGGCAGGAGTTCAAGGCCAGCCTGGGCTACGTAGTCAGACCCTGTCTCCTGTATGAGGTGCCTTTGTTTAGCTGACTGATTTCATACTTTGTTAATATAGTAATTGAAGTTTTTCATTATTTAATAGCAAAAAATAGATATTTTCAATTGTACAAATTAACTGTTGAAAATCTGCATGAGTGTTTTAAGCCAAGATATATATTGAGCCATAAATCATGCTCAGTGATTTGACTCATAATTTATCATGTAGTTTCTCTTCTGCAGCCCTTTGCAATCCATTGTATCTCAGTGACATCCCTGTGCAAAAAGTTGTCATTTCTAATCATCCATGACACGTTATCAACTGATGACAGAGTTAGTCTTCAAGTTTTGTTTTATAACATTGACAAGAACACATGTCATGTCAAGAGTACAGGTCACATTATATAGCAGTCAGAGCACTTAAGTCAAGTCAAGGTGCGTCATGCCCTAGTTCTAACTCTGTCACATCTGAATTCTGTGATTTAGAATAAATCATTTCACCTTTTTTGGGCCTCAGTATTCAGTTGATTTGTTTATAGAAATAACAATGAAAATGAGTCCAGACTGGTAAACCAAATACAGAATGACATCATGAGACCTTTGGTACAACTGCATCACCTTCCCCATCAAGAACATAGCTGATCAGTCACAATCCTCACACTGCAGTTGATTTATCGTCCCAAGGCTGGACAATCCGGTCTTTCTACTTGGACAGTCTGTAATAGTTTCTACTTAAAATATTTTTTTTTTTGGTCTTTTTCATTTTTATCGGTACTGGGGATCGAACTCACGACCGCCTGCTTGCAAGGCAGGTACTTATGCCGCTGAGCTAAATCCCCAGCCCCTAGAATATTTTTTTTAAGCATGAATATTTGAAACGTTTATAAAATGGTAATGACTAAAGAAATAAAAGTTATCAAGATTTTATTAATTACAAGAACAGCATTTTTCTTCATTAAACTTTATTTTACTTTCATTTGATTGTTATTATACCCCATTTTCTTAAATTTGCATTGAGACAGTCTATGTTTTTAAAAATGTTTACATACAATTTCTTGAATGAAATCCTTGGTGCCATGTACTGGAAAATTCCATTTCATTTTTTTCAAGATCTTATTTATGCATTTTTAGTTATTTGAGAATTATAAAATAAGAGATGTTCTATTCTGGGTGCAGTATACATTTTACATTTTAAGAAATAATTAGTATAATACAGTATACATTTTAAGAAAAAATTAGATTTTATAGTTTTTAAAAATGAAAATAAAGACTTTGATAAAGTGAATTTGCTTTTCTTATGATGTCCCCAAGAGGAAAACAAATGACAATTAAAAAAGCATTTAAGATTGGTTACTTTGCTGCACATAGCAAATTCTATTGACACATTACATTTATTAAGTACTGAAAAGGCAAACAGTACAATTAAAAACTGTAATGAAAAGTCCATTTAAAGGATATTACCCTAAAAATGGATGCACCTTGAGACCATAATGTTAATCAGACTTAAATATTGCATAACTTCTCTCACATGAGAAACTCATAGTATAACTAATTTTAAAAAATAAAGGTTAGAAAATAGGAAACAGAGATCTTCTTCAAAAGAAGGGGATCCAGAATCGGGAGAGGGAGCCAGAGGAGGGGAAGATAAATAAGATATGTTAAGGACATGCAGCTGTTCCTCAAGATGAATGTAAACATTATGTATTCTAAATATGTAGGAATAAAAAATTGAAAACAAAAATGACCGTTATCAATTAAAAACATCATTGAACAACTGAAGAATGAAAGAAATATAAAACCTTATGTAAGGATAGTTCTTTTGATCCCCGGTACCAGAAAAAAAAGTATAGTTCTTGTATCAGAACAAAACCTGTGTGATGTGTACCCACCAGTCTCCTGGGCCCGGACTGTAACCGGGCCTGAGGCTCACATCTTCATCACCCTGGAGCCTTAGTTCCGTGTGTGCAGAATTATGGTATGGAGAGGACTCCCAAGTCCACTAAATCTCTGGTGTTTGCCACATGGTGAATTTAATAGTAGTAGGCATTGTTTGCTTCTGATCTCATCTTAAATTTCCAAAGAAAAAATGAACCTATTTAGATTCCAAAATCATCTACAACTTACACAACAGACATGTGGCTTCCGTGTGTACATGTATTTGCCTTTAGCAAAATAATGTGAATTTAACATTTCTAACTGTCTAAGTCACATTTTCTAAACAAAACTCACTTGATTATATTTTCTTATATTTATTTCTTTATATGTGCATACGTATTAGCATTCAAAAATATTTATCAAGTACTTCCTAGGAACTAGATGCTAGACTAGATTTTGGGGATGTTATAGGGAATAAGACAGTCACTGGCTACCTTTGTGGGGATTACATTTTAGAAAAAGAAAAGGGATTTAACTCAGAAACACAAGCACTTGCCTGGCAAGCATGAGGTCATGAGTTCTATCCCTGGTACCAAAGGGAAAAAAAAATAAGAAACAGACAAAGCGTGCTGAAGTCAAATAACTACTGTGATAAACAGTAGGATAGAAAGTGTTGAATGATGTAGTTTAAAATAGGAGTTGTCAGAAAAGGTCACTCTGAGAAATAAATTGCAAGTTGACTAAAGGGCCAAAGACATTAGTTGTCATCATAATTATAATCAATTATTATCGTTACTATTAGCACTTTACAATGGGTTTAAATTTAATTGTGGTCTTTCATCTTTTGTTACAATCTGAGTCTCACAACAGTCTTTCAGCTATAAGGACAAATGGTGACACTTCACAGCAAAACACAAAACAAAACAAAGTTACCTTCAAACTGGTAAAATGAATGTTTGAACATATAAAAAACAAGAATTACATCTGACCCAGTTAGAGCACAGGCCTAGCATCTTCTGATTCCAGTTTGGTGTTCTTCCAACTACAGTATGCAGATTATATTCTCCATTGTCCAGTGTTTCCTTCATGGCACTACTGTAGATTTCTGTGAACACAACCTTACAACTTCAGATGAAATTAGAAATTAACCTCGTTAACGCTCTCTCCAACAAGCAGGGTACAAGAATATGGTTTCTGCATTTTATCCTACCAATAATTTTTGCTGCAAGAGGTAAATTCAAATAATTAGTCTCATTTGTAATTTATGTTTTTTCAGTAGACATACAAGGACAAAAACAATACATGCTGGGATGTGAAATGGCCAAAATAAATAAGTGCATTTGTTTACTCAGTGGTACTGGGGTTTAAACTAAGGAATTTTACACTGAGCTAATCCCTCTCCCTTTTTTATTTTGAGATCAGGTGTAACTAAGTTGCTAAGTTCTTCAGACTGGGCTCAAACTTGCCATCTTCCTGCCTCAGTCTCGCAGAGTGCTGGGATAGTAAGCAGGCATCATCATGCCTCGTATAAAATTCACTAAAATTAATAGAAGAATCAAATATCCTAGATCTATAAAATTTACAATTGGTAAAATCTTGATATGGATTTCTAAATTAAAAGGTAATGAAAATTTTACATCAGATAAAGATTGAGAAAGAATATCATGATATATTTAAAAAATTGTCCAGAAAATTAACATAACTGATGGTCTCCTATGAGGGAAAAATACTACCAGTAAAATTTATTCATTTTCAGTATAATTCTGCCAACAATATTTGTGAAATCAAAATCTCCACTGTGTGTTGATAGCTAGAACAAAAAGACAAGGTCAAAACTTTTACTTGCCCAGTGCGGTGGCACATGCCCATAATTCTGGCACTTGGGAGGCTGAGGCAAGAGGATCACTGTGAGTCGTAGGCCAGTGTGGAGTTCATAGGCAAGTTCAAGATCAGCCTACACTTCTTAGTGAGACCCTGTCTCGAGACAAAAAATAAATAAATAAAAACAAACTATTTTACTCCTTTTAACAGTGTTTATCTATCTTAATATTCCCTTCCATGAGATACAAAAGCTAGTGTTTAACCATGTACATGACTGGCTTCGCTGGGTCCTCCCAAGCTACACTAGAAAGATTTCTGCCTCCATCTCTGCACTTTACCTCCACACTTTCATTGAACCTAAATTCACATTGAGTTTTCCTCCCAGTAGCTTGGAGGAGTTGCTCAGGAGCATTTTATTACGCTTGCAAGCCATTTTCATTCTTCCCTGTCATCTCCCTGCGGAAATGAAGGCTTCCAAAAGGCCCATCTCAAAATCACTTCTCTCTTTTAAGCTCCTCACACTGTCAAAGTTTTCAGCACTGCCAAAATTGCCAATTAAATGCTGCCAGTCAAACGCAGCCAAAGCTATCAGAGCTGTCTTCTGCTTTTATTCAAACTGTGTTATTCTGTAATGTAACTTCCGCTCTCTCTCTAAGTATAAGGCTATGGAAGAATAGGAGGAGATTCCTCTTATTTCAAGGCTAGCTCTTGTCTTGTATTACTCGACTTTCTCTTCCCTTAGGGTGAGTTTTTTCCAGGAAACACCTTAATCCCTCATGCAATGGACCCCAGATAAAGATGGCTTTATAAGCCATCCACACATTTCTGAGTCCCAGGATGACTGTGGCTCAGGTCCAAGCTGGGACTCCCCACACCACCTTGTCTTATAGATGTTCCTCATTCTGAAGCACAAGATGCCACAAGATGAAACTGTAAATTGTTAACCCATGAGGTTTGTCCTTGATACTTGGCCTCTCTACACTTCTTTTGACTGACCAACTACCTTTTCAAATAAACAACCAAATATTAAGGTAAATATTTTGTTTTTTCAAATGGAAATAGCAAATGGAATTTTGTTATGGATTATTAAATGTTGAACTGTATTCTTTATATTTTACTACTGTTTTTAATTTGCAGAGGAATTTGACAGTTAAAAAGGATTTAAGACATGTAACCATTCAAGTTATTTTATTTTTATCTTAATATAACTAGTATAAATCATACTACTGATAAGAAACTTACACTGTTTAATTATGCTGTCATTTAAGAAGTAAGTGACCCTCTTTTCTTGATTGCTAACCTGAATTTTTCTTCTCCACTGAAACAAAACATTCTCTCAAGTTTAAAAGTAAGCACACCATGTATAAAAACCAAGCAATGTTTGGTAAGACTTCATCCTTCCATAACACTACATCTCAGAATAAGAAGAATCAATTTAAGCTCCAATATTGATATCTTCCTATTAAGTAAATACACAAAAGATATTTTTGTTCAAGATAAAGAGATTAGGAACATTCTATACTTTTTATTATCATATAGTTGATAATGACTTCATATGGCACAAGAACTAAAAATTAAAAGTCATTTACTTACAGAACATCTTTTTTCTAAGAATTCCCAACAAAGAAAATACAGTTCTAAGAGTTGCTTAAATTTTCTGTATATACCTTGGTTTACCTAAACTGTAGAAATCTAGCCTGGATCATGATTTGCTTTTTGGTTGTTGGTTTGGTTTGGTTCAGTTCAGTTTTAAATTTGGTTTTGTTTCGTTTTGTATCACCGTTTCCTGACAAACCTAGCAGCCACTGCTGAGGTGGGTCAGTCAGTCCAGTCCTACATAGTCAGTAGGGCTGAGGATCCCCTGACACTCGGTGGAATATTAGTGGCTTCATTTATACTGTTTTCAGACCTTAGACCATGTACATCATGAATAAGAAAAGATGCCAGAGCCAAAAAGACTGCAACATACTCATGTCAAAAGATATATATAGAAATATGTAAGGTGTGTAAGGAACAATTAATTGTGGAACACAGTGTCCTATCCTATACCTTGTTCTATATTGTCTTGAATATAGACAAGAGAGCTGAAACAAATCAGGACCGGGCTATAACATGGCATTTCAGGGCGGAGCTTTATGTCTGCTTCTCCAAGCATAATGCTATTGCTCTTTTTTCCTCCTACCTTTATGTTATATCTTTACAATATATCCAAAAATTAAATCACTACAGAATTTAGTTTTTATACACTTTTCAAATTCTACTGCACTCATTATTTTAACGAATGGTTTTTAATTCCTATTCGTATTTCTCTCAAAGTTTGGAATTTAAAAATATTGAGCATCAACATCTTATATGCATGCTAGTTTTTGTGAAAGAACTCTTCCCTGTCAAAGTTTTGTCCAGTGATTGAGACAGTTTGCCTAGCAGTTGCAGAAAAGGAGGCAGCAAATTCATATTCTGGTATTTTGTGGTACCCCCACAGTGAATAGAAGTTGTCACAAGCTCATGAATGAATGCATAAAAAAGATAAATCCAAATAGGTCAAGATACCTATGAACCAAATTTATGGTACAAAATCTAGTTTCATTCTGTTTAATTTGACGTTTAAAGGGAGAAAATTATAAAGGATATGTAGCCTTTGAAAGACAACCTCAGGCCAGACATAGTGTTGCACACTTGTAGTCTCAGCACCAAGGATGCCAAGGCAGGAGGATTGCCACAAATTTAAGCCCAACCTGAGCTATATAGTGCGACTCAAAAAAAAAAAAAAAAGGAAAGAGAGAGACAGGAAATAGAAGAGAAAGAGAGACAAAAGAGAAGGAAAAGGAGACAAGAGAAAAGAAAAGAAAAAGGATAAGAAAGGAGAGGAAAGGAAAGGAAAGAGACAGGGAGGCAAGGAGGGAAATAGACAACCTTAGAATTGTGGCAGTTGGATTTACTCTGAAGTTCGTTTGAAATATCACAAATCTATAGTTATCTGACATTTTCTGAAAAAATATTAATGCGTCTGCTCTTATTTCTTTTTAGGTCAGTCTCGATTCTCGAGTTAGAGAGGTGATCAATAGAAATCTGTTGGATCCTAACCCTCACATGTATGAAGATGCCCAGCTTCAGATATATACCTTAATGCACAGAGATTCTTTTCCGAGGTTTTTGAACTCTCAGATCTATAAGTCATTTGTTGAAAGTACTGCTGGCTCTTCTTCTGAATCATAATTTTCATTTTAAAAAATCATTTCAGAGAGCCGGGATGGGAAACGTAAATAGTTAAATAACATCAGAAATTGAGTTCCTGGAGGACTACAGTTTGGCTTTCCTCAGGATACTGTGAAAATACTACTATTATGGTCTTTGTCTCCATTTTTATCAAGGTTATCCATGATTAAGCTTGGAGAAAATACCACATAAAACAATGAATTGCCAAATTACTTTTGTTTTATTCAGTACTCATGCTACTTGCAAGCAAACTGTATTTGTAGGCCTACGAACAGTCTCCTAGTGTATCTCCAGAGACTGCATGTGCAAAGTTAAAACTGCTTCATTTGTCACATGGTTGTTGTACTATTTAATCAAATATCATAACTTATATCTGTATTTAAGAACTTTTGTGCAATATGGTCTTACTAAATAATTGCCAAAAAATTGGCTGTGGTTTGCATTTTTTTAAACATCTAAAATAGAAAACACAATTTTTAAAATGTAACAATAGTATTCAACATGCTATATACTGTGTTTAGTACACTGATTTTGAAGCCAATATTTCTGTATATTAAAAAAGAGCTATTTATCTGTTTGTTGGAAAATCCTAATAAGGAATTTCTCTGGTTGTTCACTGCCAATACTGTGGCATTTTCATTACAGAAGACTTTGCTATGTTTAAAAAAAATAAGACAAAGAAATGGAAAAAAAGCACAAAACAATCTGAAGAGATCTTAGCTCAATGACAAATCAAAGAGTGATATTGTTTTTAATTGTAATAGAAGATGAATCTATGTATATACAGATGTCCAATACTGTAATTAACTTATTAAAGACTGGCTCTCCAGTTCTAAAATGGTTGTGTAAAGTTATGTACTTCAGCAAGCAAAAAATAAACTTGATAACTTAGTTTTGGAATACCAAGAAAAGAATTTAGTAAAGGAATGCCTATATGTAGCACTGTAAAACATTTTGATGAATAGGATCTGTCCTGTGCTTGGTAGTAAAATCCAGTGAAAAGCTAAGTTTTTGCTACGAAAAGTTTTGTAAGGGTTATGAAGAAGATACTTCTCTACTTCAGACCTTAACTGTTTTCACATAGTATCTTTAACATGACTTATTTTAAAAATGTTAAAACCAAACTACTCATTCTCATTCATAATTAAAAGGCAGTACAGTGCTCAAATCTTTCAGCTGCCATATTATTTTTTATAATTACACTAACTCTTTAAAAACATACCTGACATTGGCTTGTACTTCTGACACTAAGGAAAACAATGTCCTATTGTGCACAAAAACAACAACAATAATAATCAGTGTCATATTTATATTAAAGTGTAATATTTGAATATTAATATCCCCTGAATACTATTTTTTTAAACTTACAGTGAATGAATATAATATTAAGTAAACTAAAATGAAAGTTTTAAAAAGATTTATATCCATGGAGAACACTGGCCTTATATTAAGGATTATATTAAAATTACAAGTTTTCTTTGTCATTTTTAACTACCTCTCATTTTTAATTTATTAAACATATTTTCTAAAAAAAACATGTTTGGGGGTTTTCTTTTTAACTTTATTTTACTTGAAAGGCTGGCATAGTAAGTTTCTTTTTCCATAAACTAAACATTTCAAGAGTTTTTTAAGTGACTATGATTTTATAATTTATATAGAAATCAGGAGACAAGAATAAAAGGGCTATTACCTATTCCCTATGCAAATATTTTAACTGTTGCAGTGTTTGACAAAATGGAATTTAAAAAAATTTGCAGAGTAGAAAACAAAATGTTCTGTTTACACTGGCGTTGCTGACTATCCTACCATATTCAGCACTTTTAAATACATTATTTATGAAAATATAGTTAAATGCAAGCTAGAAAATATTTATGATAATCATCTTTTAACAAATACTTGTTTTTTGAAAGTGTTAGTGTGTTGACATATTTTATTCATGTCATTTATTTACTATTCGAATAACAGTTTTCAGTAATACATTGAAAAAGATAACTATGAAGATGTTTACAAAATCAAATATTTTTCCTAAAGAGTAAAGTAAAACCTAAAAACATCATTACTTCTATTGTGAAGTTCTATTGTTGCTAAATCATTTTGTCTTGATTAGAATAATGTTTTTGTGTTACTATGAGGTATAAATACATATATTATAGAATCATTCTGTGTTTGAGGCACAATAAATTGGTGCACATGACGAGAAGATATGTAATATATTATGAAACTCTGCATGCATCAATATTTTTAAATGTAGACTTTATAATTCTTGTTGTTACTCTGTATGATGGTGACCTGCTAGTCATAAGTTATCTTTATAAGATACTTTGGGCTATGAGATGAATTGTCTGTCTGACAATATGTTTAATACTTTGCCAAATGTAAAGGATAAGGGCCTTCATAAAAATCTGTAACATGGGTATTTGGAGAATACGGATTTAGAGGGCGATATGTCCATTTGAAACCTAGTACAAGAAGGGTTCTAGAGCAGATTACACAATAAATGATGGCAACCATGCTATATGAGCACTTACGTGCTAGACTCATATTTGTGAACACAAGAAGGTTTCTCCTTTAATCTCAGAACATTTAAAGTTTCTAAGAGGATGTCTGTGTATTTACAACTTTATCAATTTTTTAAAAATATGATATAATTTGTTTAAGTCACAAAGCTATAATTAACAAAAAGGCCCTCAACTGGTGTCTATGCTACCATTCCAAGAGCACAATATATGCTTTATTAGAGTTTGATTGTATCTAGTGAGTAAATTCCTCCCTGGGGAAAATTTAGCACTTTAAAAGGAGCACTTTGTGTTTTAGGTTGCCAGGATTTCTTTGTAGACAGAATGTGCTGAAGCACACAGAACTTAATGCACTTTTGATATTATTTAATTTCAAATGAATCTATAACAGAAAGAAAAATAGATGATATAGACTATGTACATATAGATAAATTGGAGAGCCAGATCTCCTCGGTGATTGATGGCATTTCTTTACTCTGGCTTGTTATTTATTACCCAAAGTTAGCGGAAGTGCTCTGACAGTGTTACAGGGTACATAATGAGTAAGTGCAAAACACAATTTTGATACTGAAGTTATGAAATTAAAAAGTCGAGACAATAATGTGGTCCCTTATTTTTTAATCTTAAAATATGTATAGGATGACCAGCTCTGATGGTTGGTCATGGTGCATGGGGTGTTTATAAGTATCTTTTAACGTTGCTTAGTATAAAATGTGTATTGTATATTTACCTGGTAGCTCAATTTAGTGAAAGGAGCATAGAAATAGGTAAATAATATTTATTTATTGGGAGCACATATACATTTTTACCTCATTATGTTGATTTAAAATAATATAGTACCAGATTCTTAATATTGAGTTTACCCATTTTTCTATATACCTTTAACTGTACTGAAAAATAAGTAATATTGCAATTGTGAGAGATTACACCATCAACAAATACAAAACATTAGATACTTTGGTGAGGAAAGGAAAAAGCAAGGGATTTAAAATCCAAGCACAAGATAGAAAAATAACCTTTTAAAAAGTCACTAAAGTTTCTTAAGATAGAAAATGCCCACACATAAAGCCCTACCAAAAAAACTTTGAATATTTTGAGCTTGATATGTTGTCATATTATCTTGAAATGTGGTAAAGGAATTTACAGAAAACATTCTTGCCTGTTTACTTTAATAGTTTATGATCCCAAAGGGTCCAGGAATTGGCTCAACAGCATAAGCACGTATCTGGAAAGCGCGAGGTCATGAGTTTAATCACCGGTACCAAAAAAAAAAAAAAAAAAACTGTTTATGATCCTAGTCTTGAAACAAACACTTATATTTGAGTGCTTTACTCGTTTTTAAAATTTCTGATAAATATACAGTGTTGTCCTGAAAAGTTTTAAATCTGTAAAATTTTAATGCACTTACTATAATTGCAAATATTTATCAATAAACTGATACCAAAACCTTGCTTCAGATCTCTATAACATTTATAATACCCTTACAACCCACAAAAGTACACAGTGATAAGGACTATTTCTAAATACTAGACTTTGATTTATTGACAAGTGTTTTTAGAACTATTACTGATAGGAATAGTCCTATCCAGCCCCAAGAGACATCTTTTCAGATTAGGGTTAGGGCTATACTCAGTGGCATAAGCAACTGCCTGGTAAAGTCAAGGTCCTGAGTTTGATTTCTGGTTTTAAGAAAAGGAGGATTAATTTAGTGGGATATTCTACCTTTAATGAATAAGGAAAAGAACTGCCATAAGTGATAACAGGTTTTAGTATAAGGACTAATTTTCATGTTATGACAAAAGCTTTAAAATAAGGAAAAAGAACACTATTAAGTGCTGATGAAAACCAAATGTAGTATTTTTCTGTGTTATATGTACAACCCAAAATTCATTTTTCCTTCATTACTTCTCATAGTCTCTTCTGTTACAGAAATTTCAGAATTTTAAAACTTAATTTATATGCTTATATTTATATAAGCATTGCATCTTTTAATAGAAATAAATATTTTAGAATAATTGTGTTTCTGAATACATTTCCTTAATAAAGATCTAGCCTTTATTTGTCTATTAAAGTGATACCACATATAGTGCTTACTAATGTAAACATATGTCCCAGATTCATATATGTAATAGTGAGAAAAATCAAGAACTTAAAATGACAAATTTAATTTCAAGTTAACATTTCTGTCTTCTGCAATAGCAGGCGAATTAATTTTGCTCTCTGAGTAATTTTCTCATGTACAAATGAAGAATAGATTCAGAGGATGGCCATGAAGGTTAAATAAACAGAGACAGAACGTTGTTACATATATTGTCACAGTTCTTCAGCTCCATTATATAAAGTCATTTACCAAATATATAAATAAATGATAGATCTAGAACTAATAAAAGATTGACTGTCAGAAATCATTGTTCATTAAATCTTTTTACTTTAGAATACTTTCAGATTCATGGAAAAACTGCAAATATTATATGAAAAGCCCTCATATACTTGACTTTTGTATCAGTCACAGTCAATGAGAGTATCAACAAATTGAGTCTATACTTTATTCAAATTTCCTTACTTTTATGTAATCCTTTTCTTGTCCCAGAATCCCACTCAGGACACCACATGACATTTTATTGTCATATTTCCTTGGGATTTTCTTAGTTGTGAGTTTCTCAGACTTTATTTTTGTTGACCTTGGTCACCAGATGAAGTACTGTCAGGTTCCTCCATTATAAAACAGTAGTTTTAAGAGGCTATACAAGAGGTAATTTTAAGAAGTCATATATATCACAGGTAAATTTACTAAACATTTACAGTGCTGAGCTGAAAAAAAACTCTTAAGAATGTTTCTCAACACTACAATTAAGTTCCATTAAAGGCTTACTAAAAATAATAATAATACAATGAACTGGAAAGTAGAATACAAGAATAAAACTTCAAAACAGTGTTAGTGTGAATACTCACTTAATATAGTAAAAGTGAATTTTCCCCTAAATTATCTGTGTAATGAACATAAGCATATATATACTGTTTTAATATTAAAGATCTTACTTATGAATTACAATAAGAGGTAATTTACATTGATAATAGTTTTGCTTACCGCTTTTCTATATTCTCTCAACTAAACAATGTACACAATATTGCAGAGCCTTGATACACCTTCCTTCCCAGACTGAATGAATTTGTTATAGGTACAGTTTTTTATGATTTTAAAATGTTTACTAAATACTAAAAAGAATTTTAATATGTTTGCTTCTATAAAATGTATCATATTGAGTGTATAACTTATTATTACTATGTTCATTGTATTTATCTATATCCATATTTGGGTCTCTAATATTTGGACTATAAAGAAGTTTTGAGTATATGAATACAACTTAAGGGGCATCATGCTTGGTTATTTTTTAATATCAAAATAACTTGCAGGCACTCATGAATTGAGTAGATACTCCTAATTGTTTTCCTACAATTTAAATTTTTTCTAGGATATTATTCACGCTTTCTTGAATTTATCATTTTACCTATGTATCATTTTATGTATGTACATCTGGACAATGCTAGATACTTCACCATGTAATAGAATTTAAGCATGACAATAATGTAAGAAAATTCAAAAGTCTCAAGTATATTTTGAGTTTACAAAGTAAATCAAACAGCTGTTTTCAATTAATTATATTGTGGAAACCTGTGGATATTGTAAAATGCACATGCATTACACTTTCTTAAAATGTTTTGAATTAATAAAGAATTCACTAGTGTATCCTTACCTTAGATAAGGTACTGTTTCCTCATTGGTGTAACACTATAAGAATAAAAGATACACTTGTATGTGTTTCTTAAATTGCTTATGCATCTGAGGGAAAGAAAATTTTGACTGGATTCTTTAATGTGATTGCTTATCATAATTTTGCACTTTTTATAAATAATAAAATACATTCTTGAAATGACTTACATTTTAAGAATTCAGCTGAGAGACATATTGAGTTCAAATTACTTCCACCATTTATTTCTGTGTATGAGGAAAAATTCAAAGTTAAGAAATTATGGTGGCTGGGGATTTAGCTCAGCGGCATAAGCGCCTGCCTTGCAAGCAGGCAGTCATGAGTTCGATCCCTGGTACTGATAAAAATGAAAAAAAGAGAAAAAATTGTAAAAAAAAATTATATAAACTTATAAACATCCTAGCAGATCTGAATTAAAGAGTTTTGATCACTATCTCACAGCCAAACAATTTTACAAGGTAGTGCAAGTTGCATAGATAAGTTGAAAAGATGAACCATAATTAGCTGGCGCTTTTAAGTTGCAGAACAATTTTTGCACTGTGGTATTTGAAAAATCATCTCATTCTTACACTTCACTGTGCTCTTGCCATGTAGTCCTAAGGGATAAAGAAAGACAATGCAAATTTTCGAGAATTTATATTTAATGGTTTTGGTTTGATGACTGAAGGATATTTTAATCTTGTTAGAAGGTCCCATTTTTTACCATTTGATTTTATTTTTAAAGGACAAATTTGTTGGGGGGCAAGGGGAAGGGAAGGAAATGAAAAAAGAATTAAGATACGCCTATGTACCAACTCCCCCCAAGGAATGTAAACACTGTTTACTGCAAGCATGTACCAATAAAATTTTAACTATAAAAAGTTTAAAGCACTGGGAAGCCACTGAAGGGCTTTAGGCAGGTGGGGTGGAAGATATAAATTAGAAGCTACTTCAGCAAGTCACCTGTCTTAGCAGTTTAACTCTCCAGAGTGGGTAACTGGCCAAACCACATAGGCAGTGGTCATTTCCAGGTTGAGCAGTTAGTCCTACCACTGTCAGGTTGTTTATTCCTTCCTATCCGTCCCATCAGTGGGCAAGTCTGTGAATAAGTGAAACCCGCAAAGAATTATACCAATAAACTACAGTATTTCTGTAGTTTATCCAAAGTGTTGTGGTTGAGGCGGCACGACAAGTATTAGGCTATTGTGGCAGATTCTTTGTGTTTCTTTTTTTATTTTTATTTAAACCTGATGCTAGGGATCAACTTAAGACTCTCACGCATTCTAGGAGTTCACCTAAATTGGCAGGTGTTCGGAAGGCTTTGCTGTGCCATAGTTTAAAAGATTAACTCAACCTCCTTTAAACAAAAATGAGAATGGATGGGCAGGTGAGAGAAGTTATTTTAAAGCAAGTAGATTCCGCAGATAAGTGCTGTGAAAGATGCTGTAATAAAATCACTGGATGTCTTAGCGAACATTTCAGCAACATGCCATTTTGCCATCCCTGACCAACATGCAGCAGCAAGCGCAGGAAGGCGACTCCGAGGGAGGCTTCGAAGAGATGCCCAAGGCTTCCCGGACGTCCCGCTGACAACCCCACCCCTTCCGCTCGGCCCGCTCGGCCTGCTCGGCCCGCTCAAACCGCTCAACTTTCGGCCTTCACCCACTTTGAGGTTTTCCCACGCTTGGCGGAAGTTATCACCAATGCTTCCGGGAGGCCCTTGAAAAGCGCCACGGGCACACGATTGGGTGTGGCTAATCTCGCTCCTAAATCCATGTACTATCGCGAGACTGACTCTGTCTTAACTTCCGGTCTGCCCCTGCCCCGCCCCCCCGCGCCCTTTCTCTCCCTTCCAGGGATGCGGCTCCGGCCTCTATGGGGTTCTGCGTGTCGTCTGTGGACCCGCAGGGCTCCATGTCAGCCCCACCGGTGTTTCAGCTACAGCAGCCCGCCGCTGGAGGAGCTGTTCATCCGCGGTGGGCCCTTGCGGACTTTTCTCGAGCGCCAGGCAGAGTCAAAAGCCCATTTACAAGTCGGGGGCCCCGAACTCACGGCCGTGGCTAAACTCCTGATTGAGAAGGAGCAGGAGCTGCAGGAGACCGAGCACTTGCTGCACGGTAAGGGCCAAGCCAGGGGAGCAGAGTCTTGACTGTTTGCCCTTTATCCCGCTGGCCAGGTGTCCACACTACTGAGTTTGAAGCTCTTCAGTCAGGTGCAGTAGTTTCTGTTTTGGATCGCAGGTGCGTTTCTGATCTCACCCTTTCTTTTGCGTGCTTGGACTCCCATGCCTAGTTCACCGCCCCATTGAACGGAATTTAAGTTGTTTCTTCATTCCGTCTGGCAGGAGCTGATTTGCTCTGCAAAGACAGATAAGACACAGTCCCTAGTATGGGCTCCAGAAGAACAAAGTTACACCGCGATGTGGAGATCATCTGCAATAGTATGAGGAGCAGTGCTTTCTAAACTCAGAATTTGAAACCTAGGATTATGCATTTTCACTCATTTTCCCAGGTGCTTCCCTGGTTTTCGAATCTGGGTGAAGCTTAAGCTTTTGCTTTACTACAAGAACCCTGAGATGTCCAGCTACTTGCTGATCTGTGGGATGGCAAGGATCCAGAGACGATTGCAGTCTATTCGCGGATACAGAACTAATTATGATACAGCAGATAAATGAGAACAGCTATAATTATAACTAAAAATCTAAGCGAGAAAGAACTTGTTAGGAAAGTTGCAAAAGTGGAAGGACTTACCTTAGAGGAGAAAATAATAGTATAACCTTTATTGATATGTTACCATACTCCAGGCTTTGCTTAGCTTTCTCTACTAACTCATTTGATTTCACATAACAAGCCATAAGATAGATACTGTTAGCCTCATGTGACAGAAGAGGAACCTGAGCGCAGTGAGGCAAAATAACTGCCGTCCATTATAAATAGTATAGAAGAAATGGAGTTGGGATTGGACTCCCAGTCTCTTGCTGTTTATCATCATCACTGTGCTTGTAGTAGCCAAAAGAGAAGTCATTGGTAATGGCAGATGAGGAGCCTCTTTGGAGAGGCACTCAAACACTAAGGAATTTATTTTATGTTGTTCACATAAGGGAGCCACCAGAAACTTTTTAATTAGAAAATGAGTAAATTGCTTTTATCATTTAAGAAGCTTTGATTTTTGGCCGTCAGTCTGGTATTGAGATCGAATAGGCCATAAAAAACAAAAGGCTAGTGTATTACCTAAGTGATTAAAAGTAAAGTGATTTAAGAGAAAAGTAGTGTATCTTGATTGGTTGGTTGGCTTGGGGCTCTTTTGTTGTTGTTTCTGTTGTTTGGGTTGTTTTGTTTTGTTTTGAAACAGGGTTTTACTATGTCTTTTAAATTGGCCTTCAACTTATGGTGTAGCCTAGGCTGGCCTCAAACTCCCAACAGTTCTCCTGCCTCAGCCTTCTTAGTGCCTGGATTACAAGTGTATGTTATCATGCCCAGCTTGTTTTGAGATTTTTTTTGTTTCACAGATTATTAACTGGTATTGAGAATAATGTCTTTTGCGGAAAAGTTAAATTGACTGCATAGTTCGTGCCAGATTTAAAATGCAAGTGGAAGCTGGGCATTATAGCACATACCTGCAGTCCCAGCACTCAGGAGGCTGAGGCAAGAGGATCACCACAGGTTTGAGGCCAGCCTAAATTACATAGCAAGAACTTATCTACAAACAAACAAAAAAGCAAGTTGATTTAAAAGTTCAGTATTTTAAAAATCAAACTAGAAAAGTTGACAGAATGTTAGAAAACTGTGGTTAAAGGAACAAATGTTAGCAAATTTTGAGTTATTACTGTGCCAGACATTACTCGTTACCAAAAAAGTATGGAAGGGCCCTTAAGCTGACAGTTTAGTATTTAAGAAATAAAAACATAAATGAATAAATATTTTAATTTCTATAATAGTGCAGTAAATGCCGGCTTTTGAATGGCTCTTGAACAAGAACCAAAAGTTTGTCAGGTAGTACAAGAGAAAGGCCCACACCTGTAATCCCAACTACTGAAACAAAAAAATGGCAAGTGCAAGGCCACCCTTGGGAGCTCGGTGAGACCTTGCCTCAAATTTAAAATTGAAAGGACTGAAGATGTATTTCAGTGATAAGTGCCTGTGGTTCAATCCCTGGTTGAAGTTCAAGGCAAAGGAGACTACTAAAGATGAAGATACCATATTGGGAAATAGAGTAAGGGAGGGTATAGAACAGAAGATTGTAAGAGAATCTGAAAACAAACCAAAAATGTTAAGAACCTTGCATGATAAAAGAATTTGGATTTGTTTTTATAGAACATAGGAAGTTAAACACAGAAGTGATACCTTTTTAGAGCAATGTTGGCATCACTATTGAGGATAAATTAGAATATTCTCTAGAGACCCTGGTAGCTGAAAAGCCGATAAAGAAACCATTAAAACAGACCAAGCAGTAGGTGGCAGTAAGGCAGAGATAGGACTTGTAGGATTTCTGAGGAGTAACAGGATTACATGGTCCTGAGAAGGATGATAGAGACTTCTAAGAAAAATCTCAAGCTTCTGGCTTCAAGATTAGGTGTGATCCTGTCAACTAAAATGAAAATACAAAATAGATTGAATTTAGGAGAAAAATGAGGTTTACATTAAAATAAACCTACAAGAAGGACATTCAGCTAAAGTCTATTCTGGTCTAGGAGAAAGAAAAAAATCATTACTAATTAAGAGAGAAATTGAGCCTAAGTAATTATAAAACAGATACACCTTATAAAAGTAGATGAAAATGCTTAATGCAGATCCGTAGGAAAACAAATAAGACTAACGAACAGAAATTCATAGTACTTCATTTGAGGTATAGGCAGAAGAGAAAGCTACAAGATCCAGAAAGAGCAAACAGACCGTTGGGACTTCAACTAGTTAAATACAGCTGTAAACACCACTTAAAGTTTCAAGAAGAGATTCTTAGGGCCTGACTTAGAAAAGTTAATACCTTTTCAAAAGTCTATATATTTTACAGTTTTGTCACTAGAAGTTTTAATAAAAATAGTCTTAATGTAATTATAGAATGTAGCAATTGTGCCATCAGTTAACAGAAAAGAAATTAATCAGGCTGGCATTTTATCTTGAAATTTTGGTGGGAAAGGAGAGGGTGAAAACAATTTCTCTAAGGATAGGACTAAAGGACCGCTCTATAATATAGAGACTATGGCTAGGTGCCCAGTGAACACAGATTAATACTGAAAGAGAAACTCAGTGTATAGATTACCCTTTCTTGCTGCACATCCAATAGCCAGAAATCGAATGTGACAATTGAGCTTCTGTAATGGGACTTTGTTTGAATCAAGATACACTAGGAGTATAAAATACACAGATTTCAAACATTTTGATATACAGACTTTTTAAAAATACCTATTACACATTGAAATGATATTTGAGGTATACCGTGTTAAATAAAATGTAGGGTTAAAATTATTTCTAACCTCTTTCCAGTCTCTTTAACCTTGCACAAGATAACATTTTAAAACTGAAAGAAACCTCAGAGTCAACCAACTTGAAACTGCTTTTGCTCTTGATATAATCCAGATTTGAGCATATTGCCTGAGAATGCTTTAGGAGTTGAGCTCGAATTCATTTTTTTCTCTCTCTAACTCAATGTACTGTCCATTTTTTTTCCAAATTTCTTCTGTGCTGTACTCTTTCCAAAACAATTTTATACCTTTCCATCAATGCTTTCCTGTTTTGTTACTGTCATTTTCTCTCCAGACAGTCCTTTCTTTTGCTCAAACCTCCCCCCATAAAAGTTCCCTCAAACTGCTACATTGTAATATTTAATTACCTGATATTTTGGGTTTTTATTCTTCCTTCTGCAAATGTACGAAAAACTAAAATTGTTGTACTGCTGGTGTAAAAGCAAGTGCTTTTAATTTTTTTCCATTAGAAAAGGATTTTATTTCACCATAAAAATACAACCTGGAATAAATATCTCCTAATGGAAATATGTACAGCTATCTTTATCCCTAAGCTTCACTTTTAAGATGTAAACAATTAAAATTTAAATGTGTTGGGAACATTCCAAGTAAAAGTAATTTAGAAAAAAATGACTTCTTATCACATACACAAACCCTTTTTAGAAAAAAAAGCTTTTAATCAAACATTTTATGCTTTAATACTTGAAGTTGAAAAAAGTAAATATTTTAAAGTCAAGGAGCATCAGATCACTCTGCCACTCCCCACAAATGTAGGGCACGTTTGAGTTTCCACTTTCTTTGCAGGACTGAATGTGCCACAGTCAGCCTCTTCTTTTGGCATTCCACCAGTTATTTAAGAATTACAGAAGGGACAGAAAAAAAGAACCAGCCCACCATCGCAAGGCACTGTCTTCACTTGGGCCTTGTGGGTCTGTGGAAGCCCTCACTTCTCACATTCTTCCTCTTCAGCTGCAGGACACGTGACGACTTTGCTGGCCTCTCCTGGTACACGCAAAATCTGCTCTGTACTCTTCATGACTGATCTGCCATTCTTAACATTGTTAGTCTTTGTGGTTTTCCTGCTTAAGACGAGGGGTCAGATTTATCTGATCCGTAGTTTCCAAGGAAAATTAAAACTAGTGACACATCTAGAACTGAGATGCCAGCAGCGACCTTGTGTGCGAGGCTGATGAGAATGAGTTTTCAGTGCCCTGTCTTACTGTGAACTGAGTTTGGGTTCCTGGGACATTGATCACATAAGAACTGGGCTTTAATACAGGTAGGCAAGAGTCACAGGACACGGGGCAGCACCCTTGGGGAAGCCCAGGCCTTCATTACCTGTTCCTGATTCTGTGTTGGTTTCTTGGGGACCGGGAGTTTTCACGGTGGCAGCTGCGCCCTCTGCTTCTTTCCCTGCGGCTGACCCTGTCTTTGCTGTGGGACTTCCTCAGGTCCCGATGGGAGAGCTTCTGGCGCTGCTGCTGCACCTTGCTCTGCAGCCTTGAGCCCTTACAGCTGGTTCTGGCCCAGCTAGTATTTGGTAGGTTCTGCTCCTCAGCTCTCCCGTTGTGTGTGGCCTGCATGTGGCCTTTGCTGGGCTCCCAGTTACTCTTGATCTGCTTCAACCTGCCCTCCTTAGGCACGCTGTGGCCACAAGTGGGGACGCTCTTGGCCTGCTGGTTGTCCTTGGGGATTCTGGGAAGGACCTCTGGGCACCTCTTCTCCAGAGAGTCACTCTCCGCGCCCACACAGAGTGAAGTCTGAGCCTCCTTGTACCCAGCTTTGTTTAATTTGCTGCCTATCAAGTTCCTGGGCGTGCAGTCTGTCTCCATGTGGCACAGGGCCTCCTTGGGGGTTCTGGGGACCATTGGGCTCTGGAGGGGGTGGAGTATGGCTGCACAGGTAATCTGGCTGCCAGAAAATGCAGGCTGCAGGAAATCTCGCTTGGGCTGCTGCAGGTCTTTGCACTGGTCCATGTCTTGGGGCTTCTCGCACAATAGGATGCTCAGCTGCTGCACCTGCATGTGGTGTTCCTCCTCCGCCACCAGCCTCAGCGCCTGCTGCTCCTGTTTCTCCAGCTTTGCAGCCTTGGCTCTGCTCAGCAGCTCCACCAAAAGCCGGATAGACTGGAGGTTCCTTTGTACCAGCAGCAGCTTCCTCTCCTCCAGCTTGATCTTCTGGAGCTTTTTCTGCTCTTCTGCCTGAAGCTTCTCCAGCTGCTTCTGACTTCGCCAGATCTCTCGAGCTCTCTGCTTTTGTGGTCTTCTATGAACTTTCTCTTCCCTCTTCCTCTCTCTCGCCAGTTCTTCCTGCTCCTTCTCTTTCCTTTCCTTCACCCACAGCCTTGCTTCCGCTTCCTTCTGTTTGCGCTTCTGTTCACGCTGCTGCTCCAGCTCTTGAAGCTTCTGTTTCTCCAGTTGCCGTTTTTTAATTGAAGCCTCTCCCAGGTGTTTGGTGGAATCAAAAGAAACTTTGATGTTACAGGCCACAGCCTTGCCATCTTTCCCTTTGTACATTAACTTCATCCCATGCAAGGCTTTCATGGCCTGGAGGAAACCCCCATACTTGCAATACTGTATGTAGGCCTCAAAGGTTAAGTGTCCCCCGAAACCAAACATGTGGAAAGTTCGACTGGTCATCTCCTCTCGATAGGGGTCCAGCATGGGGATGTCCACATTCCTGATCTCTCCAAACTTCTCAAACACCTTGACGAGTACCTCCTGGCTGGGCTTCTCCGAGCCTGATTCCTTCTGAGCAAACCACTTGCAAGGCAGCCCCTCTAAGTGGATGGTGTCTGGCCATTCCCCTGGCAGCATCTCATTCCTTTCCTTTGTATTGACAAAGAAGTCCTGGGTGGGGAAGTCCATCTTGAATTCAGTGGCATGCACCTTCAAGATGTTGGAGAAGCCACTGAGCTTGATGGTCTTGCCGTCCAGGCAGGCTAGGAATGACTTGACCAGGCTCTTGTTCTCTACCTCCCCCTCGAAACGGATGAAGTCCAGGGTGCTCTTGGAGATGCGCAGCGTGGAGAACTGGTGGTTGTGCACCATGTCTTTGAGCCGCTCCATCACCTCCCAGTTGGAGATAGACTTCCCAGGGTGCTGCAGCTGCGGGAGAGCCACGCTGATGGTCATTTTTGTGATGGGTTTCAGGTACAGGCCATAGGAGGGGCAGAGCTCCACCGCATCAGATGTGTCATACACTATGGTAGCCATAGCCATCGCCAGGCTCTTAGGCCTGAAATACGAAATGCAGATGGTCACGGTGAGGCGGAAGAACAAAGAGGCGCCACACCACCCTTACAGAGCTGACAGTCTGTCTCTATCGTTGCAGAAACTGGTCTCTGCCTCCTTAAAGGCCCTCACCGTCTACTGAATTTTCTAATTAGCATAGAAGAGGGGTTGTATGACTGTGTGACTGGGGTCTGGACCAAGACCTGTGCACCCTCAAGGTTACAGGCACTCCCTGGAGCTTGATCTTGAGCTACAGCAGTTCTTCCACCTGCTGGCTACTCCATGCAGATACCAGATAGCCTTGGTACTCTGTTACTGGAGTTGTCCTGCTGTCCCTAGACTCAGATAACCTCCCAGTTCCTCTAGATTTTGATCCTCCAAATGTCCTAGCCTCCAGGGTTCCCCAATATTCCTGGACACTCCAGACCTTTATCTACATGTGGCCCCACATTCTCAACCTGCAGCATTCCCATTCCCTCCCAGGGACCCTAAATTGCTTACACCTCCACAACTCAGAGGGCGCAGTGGTGCAGCCCCCAGGACCCAGTATAACTAGTCAGCTATTCACCAAGCCCTGGCTGCCACATGGGGACCAGATGCTGCCCCCAGAGCTCCTCTACACTGCCCCTTGAACCGCCTTTAGCGCCCTAGTATCCCATATAATCCCTGGTATCCCTGCAGCCTTTTGCCACAGCTCCTAATTTCCAAGTTCTACCCCTCAAATTCCTGCTGTAACCCTTGGTAAAACCATCTCCCAGCCCCCCCAAACCCTTGATCCCCCGTTTGGCCCCAGACCTGCACTGCTGCTAGTCTCTATTATCCCAGCACTCCTGTATGATTTCTGCTAGCACCCCAATATGATACCCAGTTCTACCCCAGCTACCACCGGAGCCCACTGCCATGGCGCTGGAAGTGAACTCAGACCTTTAGTACTTTTACACTCTCCACGCCGCCCCCACATCTAGCCGTACAGCAGCCTGGTACTGCCCCTAGACCAACCCCCATACCTGGTTCCGCCCCCTGAGTCCCACGCAGGGGCAGGACCAGTAAAGAAGAGAGGCAGTTGAGGGCATCCAGGGTGGCGTTCTGAGCTGGGGTTGGTTGGCCTGCGACCCTGCTCTCCCCACCCCCACCCCCACCCCTCGCAGCTCCTCCCCCTTCTGCGTTTGCCCAAAGGTAGATCTTGCACATATGGTAGCGTATGTTCGCAGCATAACTGTTTCTTGATACATGAGTGTACAAGCTGATACTCCTTAAATAAAGTCTTTGCATAATAGCTTAAAAAATTTCTCCTGCAATAAATAATTTTCTATTTTTAAATTCAGTTTTGGTTTACCTAATGGAACGTCTATTTACCTAATGAAAACATCTGTTCCCATTGTGGTCTTTCTGATTAGCTAAATCCATTCATTACTGTTACAGCCTAACTCAGGGAGCCAAAAGTTCATCAATGTATTTCATGAAGGTAAAATTTAAAAAAAAAAAATTAGCTTAGCCTGGCATGGTGGCTCCCGCCTGTAATCCCAGCCCTCGGGAGGCTGAGGTGGGAGGATCGTTGGGAGTTCAAGACCAGCCTGGGCTACAAAGCAAGTTCAAGACCAGCCTGAACTGCATAGCAACACCCCATCTCCAAAAAAAAAAAAAAAAAAAGTTTATCTTTGTTTTCTTATATGCCTTTTTAATTTTAGTTATACTTTCGTCATCAGAAAAGTTTGTTTTAGCTACATGCTCATGAAAACTAAAATGCTATTTAATCGATGGCAATTATTAAAAGGACAAGATCAACATTTTGTTCTTCAACAGGTAGAACTTATTACTTTGAAATCTGTTCACAACTTAACACTTAAGGAAAGTTTAACTGCTGCCTTTCTTTTTAGATAAGAATGAAGATTTAAGGAAACTTGCAGAGAATGAAATAACTCTGTGTCAAAAAGAAATAATCCAGTTAAAGCACCAGGTATGATATTTGTGTAAAAAATGAAGCATTTCTGCCATTTCTTTATGTATTTATCTTTGTGGCTCTAGCACTAGTAGAGTGTCAATCCTAGAGTTCTAAATTTCTCTCCCATATTAAGGAAGCTTCCAAATTCAGATCTGAGTGCTTTTGTTTTTCTTTTTTCCATACTAGTCCTACCTACAATAAGCATTTATTTCTTATTAACTGGAGGACTGATAAAAAGCATGTAAGAACTCTAAGATAAAATTTTAGGTGAATCTTACTTATAATAGAGTTGTAACATTAATACTTCAAGAAGTTTTTCATTTTATGTTTCTAATTGACAATTAGGCAATTGGCAATTAGGTTGCCAGCATTATTAAATTGTTTACTTAGAAGCTGGGAGTGGTGCTACACACCTATAATCCTAGCATTCACGAGTCTGAGGCAGAAGGATCACTGCGAGTTTGTGGCCAGTTTGGTCTACAAAGTGAGTTCAAGGGCAGCCTATACGAAATCCTGTCATAAAAAGATCAAAAAAAATTATTTGCTTAAAGAAGTACTCCCAGAACCACCATCTGTCCAGCTATCCAAGATCCAAGTACCCTCCCTAGTTCTCCAGATTTTGACGCTTCTTAATGCCCCAGTCCCAATATTCCTGGATACTCCAGGCCCCTACATACCTGTGGTCCCCAACAAAACTAGCTCTCTGTGTATCTTTAGGATTTGGTGGGCAAATATTAAATAACTATTTATTATAGGAGAAGTAACATTTTTGTATTTACAGATTATCTTACTTTTGGTTCCCTCAGAAGAAACAGATGACAAGGATTTGATCCTGGAGGTAACTGCAGGAGTTGGAGGTCAAGAGGCAATGTTGTTTACTTCAGAGATGTTTGATATGTATCAGCAATATGCTGCATTTAAAAGATGGCATTTTGAAACCCTGGAATATTTTCCAAGTGAAATAGGTCAGTGAACTGTTCAGTTTTTCTTAGTAAAATGTAGATTTAATTTATTTATTTACTTATATCCTAGGAAAAGAGTTAACAAGACCATGACTAGCTTTAGAACTTTCTTTAAGGAAGCTTAGTTTTGTGTTCATTTACCTAGTAATTTTGAATGTAAACATACCACTTTTGAAATGGCCTGTAAAATCTGATTAGTCATTCAACAGTAACCATGGTGTGACTATGAGTCTTTAAAATTCTTTTAAATGTGTTATTTATTTATGTCAATTATTAGCACCAAAAATGCTTCATGTTTAATAATTATGAAATAGTAAAGAGTAAGACTAAATACAACGACATGCTGTAGGTCTTGAATATGCTTATTTTTTATTATCTATTTCAAAATAGTACATGTAGTCAAGTAGTGATAAATGACAAGAATAATAAAAAGAATTGTATTTTTCTTATTTTCAAGGTGGCCTCAGACATGCTTGTGCCAGCATTAGGGGTTCAGCAGCCTATCAGTATATGAAATTTGAAGGAGGAGTGCACAGAGTACAAAGAGTGCCCAAGACTGAGAAGCAGGGCCGCATCCATACTAGCACGATGACAGTGGCAGTATTACCTCAGCCCACTGAGGTGAGGGATAGTTATCGCCTGGCCTTGGAATCCTGAGCCAGGGATATAGTACCTTACCCCCGACTTGTTTTCAAAGTATGAATTATAAGTTTCTGCTTATTAATTTTGAGAAAATTTTTACTCTATGGTAGAGTTATACGTGTTGCAGTCTAATGTGTGTGTGTGTGTGTGTGTGTGTGTGTGTGTGTGTGTGTGTGTGATGCCTAGATGAGGAGCAGAACAGGTAAGGGAAAAAATAAAACAGTAAATGGCAGTAGCCAGCCCGAGGTGCTACTCATTGTGGTTTAACCACTCTGAGTGTAAAAGCTTTTATGAGAGGATAAGAGACAGAGGTTTGTGTATGATCCAGTTCTTTTAGCAACTTTATGAGACAGTCCTGTAGAGAAGTCAGGAAGACTAAGGGCATGACATCATTCTTACTGCCAGGACTGCAAACAGGTAGGAATAATCAATAGTTATTCATGGAACAGAGCTTTTTAAACGTAGTGCTTCTGATGGTGACACCCAGGACAAAGCATTATCTTACTGTCACCATATTGTGTAGTCACTGAGTCTGTACCCTTGACTTCTTGGCTTTTGCCATGTGCCTTTCCCTCAAAATGTGTGAAATAAATCCTTCCTATATTCAAGTTAGCATTTTTCTCCCTACTAACATCTTCTGGAATGTAGACATATTGTGTATAATCTCATTTTAATTTATGTACACATATTTCTAATAGCTAAATTCTGCTGTTCATGAGGGAAGAAGGAAGTAATTTATAGAGAAGCTCACTTTTTGAGATTTAGGAAGTGTTTGCTTTTGTCCTACACTCTTCCTTTTCTTTATTTTTTATTTTAAAGAGAATAAAACCAAACAAAATAAAACAGAATACAGCCAATCAAAACAAAAGAGTGAACACAATATAAGACTTCAAAACAAAACAGTAGGAAATCAACAGTGGCTACCCAAGTGTCTCTTGATTTCTTCAAAATAGCTGTCCATATCATTAGACATAATAAAATCAAACAAAACAGAATAAAACCAATCATAAAATTAAAAAAAGAGAATGTTACAGGACTTCAAAACCAATAATAGGAAATCAACAATGGCTTCCATAATATATCTTGTTATCTTCAATCTAGCTGCCCATATACATAGTATATGCCAATATACATAGTAAAATCAAACAAAACAATACAGACTAAAACCATACCAACAAAACTATGAAAATGATACAGGAATTCAAAACAAGATAATAGAAAATTAACAGTGGTTGCCACCTTCGCTTTTTAGACATCTCCCCATTACTTTCACAGTATCTGTTGTATACTTTGGATCCCACTAACTCCTTCAGTTTTTTATGCCAGAGAGATAACTCAGTGTTCACCCATATGAGTCCAAACCATTTCACCCATGAGCATGATCTCCAGTTGCATCCATTTACGTACATAAGCCTCAAGATTATCCTTGTTTATAACTGAGTAGCTTCCCATTGTATAAAAAATACCATATCTTATCTATTCTGTGGTTGATGGGCAAGCTTTTTGGCCTCAACTCACCAATAAAAACAGGAAGAGTGGAGCTCTTCTTGACTTGATGGTTTCTGTTGAGAAATCTGCCATGATTCTGATGGGTTTCCCTTTTATAGGTGATCTGTTTCTTTTCTCTTACAGCCTTTAATATTCTGTTTTGCTTTTTGCATGAAGCAATTGTTTTCTCTCCTTTGACTTTCAGTCTATGAATTTCCTTTCAAGTTAAATGTATTTCATGTATACAGCACATTGATGGATCTTGATGGATCCTTGTTTCTTCATCCACTCTCCCTATGTTTCTCTTTATTGGTGAGTTGAGGCTGTCTACATTAATGTTACAAAGAGTATGCATTGGTTCATCTCTGCCATGCTGTCCTCCTGCTGTTGCCCCTCTCCCCACTTTTCCCCTCCATTCAGTCACTTGCCCTATTTGGCATTACTCCTCTGCTGCTGTTCCTGGAACTATGGTCATCTTTATCTCTCTCTACAATATCCTTTAGCACTCTCGGTAGGGTTGGTTTGGTGGTCATGAGTTCCTTCAGTTGTTCTTTATCATGGAAGTATCTTATTTTTCCATCAGTTTTGAAAGATAGTTTTGCAGGGTATATCAATCTGGGTTGGAACTTGTTTTTCTTTCAGGGTTTGAAACACTTTACTCCAAGCTCTTCTTAACTTGATGGTTTGTTGAGAAATCTGCCATGATTCTGATGGGTTTTCCTTTATAGGTGATCTGTTTCTTTTCTCTTCCAGCCTTCAATATTCTGTTTGTGTGCTGCTATTATATGTCTGGGTGAGGATTTATTTTGGTTATGGCTAGTTGGAGTTTTATATTCCTCAGTTATCTATGTCAGGTCCTTTCCCCATTTTGAGAAGTTTTCTGCTATTACTACTGCAAATAGTCTTTTTATGTCATTGTGTTGATCCCTGCTTTTTAACTGACATCCATCACTCTTGAATTATTTTACTTTGCTTCATTGTGCAGTTGTTGGATTATTTCCTGTTTCCTTGTTATTTGTAAGAGATTTTTTTTTCCTTTCATGATCGCTAGCTGCATCTTTAAGGTCTGAAAGTCTATCTTCAGTCTCTTTCAAGCAGTTTTGCAAGCTTTCAATGGAATTTTTAATTTCCTAGATATCACTTTGAATCTGTTTCATGCATTGTAATTCATTCAAGGTTTTCATCATTTTCCTATGCTCTTTTGTATCTTTGTCTTCTTTAGATATGTTCAGCAATTCATTGTTTGTAATTTCTTCTTTTACCTGAGACATTGTTTCTGATCTAATTACTTTTACAGCCTCATGAATTTGTTCCTTTTCTTCAGTTGCTATCCTTTCAGAGATTTTGGGTATGTGACTATCATTTTATTTCATGTCTGTATTTTCCATACTTGTTCTTATGGGCTGGAGATCTGAGATTGTCTTTTATTCCTTCATCTTGACATTTTCCTGGGTTCCTCCCAACAAGCTGGTTGTGGGGATCAAGGTACTTCTCACATTGCCTGCCCCTCTGCAGTGCAGGGGAATGTGCCAGACACCTGAGGCAGCAGTGGGGCATCGAGTGGGCTACTCCAGACCTGTGCATCTGTCCTGAGGCTTCCTGGGTGGCCCTCGGTACGAGTGGCAGGGCTGCTGCTTCTTTTATCCTGTGTGGCTATACTGAGATTCCCCCAATGGTGGCAGGTGTGCAGGGGAGTGTTTGTCTACTTTAGATATGCTCAGGCCACACTGGCTGCCCACAGGAAGCAAGCTTCTCCAATGGTGGCCTGCAGGTGCATTGGGGCGTATTTGGCTATTTCTCCCTGCCTGTGTTGTTACCTGAGGGAAGCAGACATCCCAATGGCCTGTATTATGTTTTGATTCCCTTTTCTTCTGAAAGGAAAAACTAAAAAATAGTAAGCTTCTAAATACTATCAACTCTTTAAGAGTAAATCTTACAAATTCTACATATGTAACAAGTATTTATAGATAAACCTTTATGTATAGTACGTGTAATCTTTTAAAATATCTCAACATTTCTTTCACCTGTGTAGATTAATCTGGTGATTAATCCTAAAGATCTGAGAATTGACACAAAGCGAGCCAGTGGAGCTGGGGGTCAGCATGTGAATACCACAGACAGTGCTGTCCGGATAGTTCATCTCCCAACAGGTACGTACTGATTTCTTGAACATAAAACATTGAAGAAAAGTCCATTTCTGAGGAAATTGACTAATTTTCCATGGATATAGACCCGCAATACCAAAGAAATATATATCACAAAGGATTATTATTAGTCACTTGAAATCTGTAGCTGATACTTTGTAGGACAGTTACAAAGCAGGAAGAATAGAGGTCTGAGCCCAAGGAGTGCCTCACTAGTGACTGAAGAGAGGTATCTGACAGTAGTCCTTCCACGCAGCTTTCCGAAGTATATGTTTAATAATTTTAGAAATGTTTTTTAAATGCTCACAGTGAAGTTATTATTATAGTTCATTAGAAAATACCTTAAATCACGGTTTATTGTCTTTTTCTGAGCACTCTTTTCAGAAAATGACAGCACTGGTCCTCAAACTCAGAAGTATACCTCCAGATAAAATTTGCATGTAATTTGAGGGGTTTCTTTCCTCCATTGAATTTATTCACAGACTTTCAAGCAATCTGATACAGTAATTAGATAAAGACTGTATCTAAGTCTTTTTAAGTCTCCAGTATACTACTATGTAGAGCTAAGCAGTGAGTGTTACTCCAGTGATTTACATGTAAATTATAGGGCTAGCTGACCATGTATATCTAGAATACCAGAATCTCTTTGTGTGACTGATCTCAAACAGGCATAGCTTCCATTAACCAGTTTTTGCTGAACTAATAGTTTCGTTCTTTTAAATATAAGAAAATATTCATATTAAACTTTAAGGTGATGTCTTATTTACTATAGAGTGTACAAACAAGAATACGGAAAAAGTAGATTTTGAACTTCAATATATCTTAGTTTCTTAAGGAGTTATTTCTTTAAAAAATTAAGGGAGGGTATGGAAAGGCAATCTCTATTACATGATCTCTGTTTATTGTTTAGTATGTATGTTTTCCACGTGGAACTACTTTGTGGTACAGCTCAAACTTAAACTTACAATTTTTGAAAAACCTTATAGAGTTTAATATCTTCCCTTTATGTTAAGAGTACTCTCCTCTCCTCATAAAGGAAGAAAAAAGATAAGAAGGAAAAAGAATATTCCTTGATAGTAAATACAGGTTTTTCTATTTTCTTTAATTCTCGTAATAATATTCAGGTATTATTTCTGAATGCCAACAAGAGAGATCTCAACTTAAAAATAGAGAGATGGCTATGAAAAAGTTACGTGCAAGGCTATATAGCATGCATCTAGAGGAAGAAACAAGTAAAAGATACAATGCTAGAAAGATTCAGGTAAGAAGTAACTTAAAAATGCTTCCAAAAGATAAATGTATTTTTGGTTAACTCAGTATTTGTACATCACAGTTGTTTACATATATTTGTCAAAATAAGAAAACGAGTAACTCAAATTGCCTGTTACATAGTAATCTTATACCTCTGCCCTATTTTCTGTATTCAAAGGCATCTTTCTCAGGTTTTGTCAAAGTTAATGAAAAACAGATATTCTGAGTCTCCATTCATTTTTAAACCTTTGAAATTATGGAAGCATGAAAGTTGGAGAGGAACAACTTACTTTCCTTTCTGTTTGACATTTAACTTTGTAATTTACAAGTCATTTTTTTTTTTTTTTTTTTTTGTCTTTTTAGTTTTTATCAGTACCGGGGATCGAACTCACGACTGCCTGCTTGCAAGGCAGGCGCTTATGCCCCTGAGCTAAATCCCCAGCCCTACAAGTCTTTTTAATAACTCCTCAATGTGAGACATTCATCATCTTGTCACTACTCAAAATTATGCTATCTGAGAGATTATGTATGTATATATGTATGTACTATTTGATATTTGCCAGCTTCTATATGTTCATTATCATTGTGTAGTAGACATTTTCAGCCTTTATTTTACAGATAAAGATATTAAAGTTTAAAGTTGAAATAGATTGCCTGATGTCATACAGCATTAAAGTGGCAGACATAGTATTCAAATATTAATATGTCTATATTCTTTTTCTATGTCATCTCCCCATGTTATTTGGGGATTCAACATATTAAAACCTGGTCTTGAATTGTGATGTACATTACAAATCAAGAATTTAATCCTCCAGTAAGCTAAATTTGTAAGCTTAAGCTGACCTGAATCTAACTGCATCTTTTTTTTAATAGGTTGGAACTAAAGGAAGATCAGAGAAAATAAGAACATATAATTTTCCACAGAACCGGGTCACAGATCACAGAATAAACAAATCACTGCATGATCTTGAAACTTTTATGCAAGGAGATTACCTACTAGATGAACTTATACAGTCACTGAAAGACTATGCTTATTATGAATCTGTAGTAGAAATTATTTCCAAAAAAGTTTAAGGTGACTTATTATTAAAAGCCTTTTCTACAACATATGGCTTAGAAAAATTTTAATCAAAGCAAATACCCACCAGTACTTTTTTGAAGAACATAGGTTAACACGAGTGAAAGTAATGTGTATATCCTTAAGACATGGATCATTAGCTCTCTCTCAATGTACTAGTAAAACATTACTGTTGCTATAAATCTTAAACTCTTCTGCATAAGAAGTAGACAATGAATAATTGTAATTTATTTCCTGTAAAACATTTAATTGATCAAAAATTTGGTTTATCTATGAGACATGCTTGGAATATAAAATAGAAGTATGGTAATACATACCACATTGTCAGCATCCAGTCAGGAGTCCAAAATCATATCATTAATTTGACTCAGAACAAAGGAGAATTCTAATACTTCAGACTGAGGAAACATCGAATGAAAGAACACTTTTGCAAATTCCCACCCACTAACCACCGGCCTGTGAGCGGTATGGTTGCAGACCACTCAGTGATGGAAAGCTTCCTGAGTTGGCCTGGGATAGAGCTGGTATACAGGTGGTAGCTCAAGAATTATAAGCAGACATCCTCAGAGTCTCAGCAACTGATAAGCAAGAGACTTTCTGTCAACATATAAATAAAATTTGTTGGATAGTAAGCCTTTCTGTACTATGGTTCTTCAGAGAAGCAGAAAGGATATGTATATGTAGGGAGAAGACTTGGACACTTAGGAAGCTGAGGCAGAAGGATTGCTACACGCTCAGGGCCACCCTGGGCTACAAAATGAGTTCAAGGACAGCCCTTGAATCCTGCTCAAAAAGACTTTAAAAAGAATTTTCTTTCAGTTGGAAGTAGCTTGTCTTGTTCTAATCAGACTACCTGCTGGTTGGATAAAACCACTGATATGGAGAAGGCAATGCACTGATTTAAAGGTCAGTTTTATCCAAAAACTTTCCATGGAAACACCTAGAATAATGTAACCAAAAATGTGGGTATCCTTATTGACCCTTTAGTACCCAATAGTGCCCTGGCAGCTATGCCAAAGAAACAAAAGAAATTGTGTCCTTTCAGTTCCCTCCACCAGCCCTTACTAACAAAGGTTAATATAGTGCTAACTGGCAAAAGAGAAATGTACAGATTGCTGTGCTTTGAATGTGTCCCTTACCAAATTCAGATGTCAGTTTGATAGCATTAAACTCTTCGATTAGCCTATTAGAGTTTTCTCTCATGAATAGGATCAATGGCCTCATGAAAGAGTTTTCTGTGGTATTCAGCTAGCCCTTTTTGAGAACACAGCAAGAAGACCTACCAGACCAGCACTTGAACTGTGAAAAATTGATCTTTTTTTTTTTTTTGTCTTTTTAAGACAGTCTCACTGTGCAGTTCAGGCTGGCCTTGGGCTCACTTTGTAGCCCAGGCTGGTTTCAAATTTGCAATGAGCATCCTGCCTCAGCCTCCCCCGTGCTGAAGTTACAGGTGTGTGCCCCACACCTGGAGGAATTTCTGTTATTTATACATTACTTACTGGGAACTGGGTTGGTGACACACACCTATAATCTCATCACTTGGGAGGCTGAGTTGTGAGACTTATTGCTGTTTAAAAAAGAGATTTTAAAAAACAAATCAATATAGGATTTCAAAACAAAATCATCATGAGTTTGAAGGCAGTCCGAATTACATAGTGAGTCTGTCACAATAAAACAAAAAATTACCTGCTCTTAGGATTGGGTTATAGCAACACAAATGGACCAAGCTCCAATATTGAATGAAAGGTGAATTTTCTGCCGACATACAATTCATTTAACTGGCAAAACACCCGTACTTGTTGCCTAGTTTCAGTCATGTCATATTTGCTAATACTGTGACATTCACCCTTGAATATTTCAGCCCATACTTTCAAAGAATGGCACTGTTCTACTGAAGCATGTATTATCATCACACTTAAAATTCACGTCAAATCCCAAGTGTCTCCAAATACCTAAAAATGCAAGTTTCTCTTAACTGTTCCCTAAACGTGTTAGGGAACTGTTCCCTAAATGTGTAAGCTCACTTCTTCAAACTAAGATCCAATTAAAGATTATGCATGGAATGTAAAGATTTTATCACTTTAAATTTCTCTTAATCTACAACAGCCTTGCCAACCCCCACCCCTTTCCTCATGGCATTGCATTATATTTTCATTTGAGAAGATCAGACAAAGTATGAGTTTATTTAACTGGTTTGTCAGGTCAGTATTTCTTGTATGCTGGAAGTCAAACCTTAAGATTTAGCCAGTTTAAATGTCCTTCCGTTACCTGTGACGTGGCATTGCTGCCACTAAAATATTGATTCAAATGGGCCACATTTGAATGCTAATATGCTCTTACTGGGGTACATGAGGCTTTCTTTAAACATGACAGACGAGACAAGTGAAATCATGTAAATTGGAGGAATGTGGCCTTTAAAATGAACTTTAAAACTCAGTTTCTTGTGTGAGAAAGATTTAAAAGAAACAAGATGTTCCCTCTTCCATGGAACCCTGGTTATACATAACTTTTCTGTGGAGACTGACTCCAGAGAATTGGGCTGCAGGAAAGGAAAGCCTAAGAACATTTGCTTGACACTACAAAGGATCTCATGGTCTTGAGCAACAGAGAATAGTGTCCTTGGTAAAGGAGGACTTTAGGTATCAAAAACACGTGAAATGCTAGAAATGGCAAGAACTTTTTTTTTTCTTTTTGAGACAGGGTCTCATTCTATAATTCAGGCTGGTCTTTAACTCACTATATATCCCAGGCTGGCCTGGAACTTACAGTGATCCTCCTGCCTCAGCTTCCCAAAGGAATTTTCTTAACATAAGGGAAACTAAGATTTATATAATTAGGAGGACTCTGCCAAGCAGATACTACATATTAAATTTATGGCAGTTACTAAGTGAGACATCCTGAGAAAATTGTTACACCATTTCAACTGTATGATTAAAAAAGTTTTTTAGTTTTTTTATTAAGGTAATAGAATGGAACTCAGGACCTTGCACTTACCAGGCAGGCACTGTGCCACTGAGCTCTATCCCTGGCTTCAATATATGATTAAAATATTAAAAGAGCTGGAGATTTAGCTCAGTGGCATAAGTGCTTACCTAGCAAGTGCAAGGTCATGAGTTCGATCCCCAGTACCAAAAAAAAAAAAAAAAAAAAGAATTAGGAGGCATGTATTTAACTCAGAGTTGCCACACTCTCCATATTGGTTAAAATCAACAGTAGCCTTGAGTTCTTATGAACGTATGTATTGTAATAAACTCAAAACAGTATTAGATGTTTCCTCTTTAAGTCAGTATGTATGAATTAAATTTGTTTTATAGCCCTGCTTGTGTTTTCATAGTATTTTATATTGATAATTTATTGTCTCACACGATTGCTTTAAAAGGGATGTATACAAAAACCAAGAAAAGATAGTCTTAAAGCTCTGAATTAAATCAAATACTTTTAATTTGAAGAGAATCTCTCTCATAAGAGGCATTCTGTGTTCTTAACAACTGCTGGATGCAGCTTTCAGTGACCTGTGCAACTCAAGAAAACAGCAGGACTCAACCACATTTTGTGCTTGCTAGTTTATCACTTCTTATATCATTTTGATACAAAAGGTGCAGACCCTTGAGTAATTAAATACTATAATGTATTATTACTTAATTTCCCCTCACTTCTTCTAATAGTAAAGAGAAAAGACTGCAGGCTGAAGTTGATTCTTTAAATGAGTCTGCATAGTTACACAGACCCCCCCCCCCACTTTCCCTTATCTCTTGCCCTCAGGAACAGAAAGTGAAAGAGCTGTACTAATTTTAGTGGAAAAGAACACTGACCAATTTTTAAGTTCCCCCTAATATTTAAATTATTTCTAAAATACAAATTTAAAATACACTTGAGAGGTCAGGGATACAGCTCTGTGGTAAAAGTTCATGCTTAGCATGCTGGAGGCCTTGGACTCAATTGCTGGCACAAGTGAAATGAAATGAAATAAAACTATAAATCAGCAGGTGTACTTATTTATTTAATTTTTGAAACAAAGTCTCCCTCTGGTGTACAGTTCAGGGTGGCCTTTGACTCACTAGATGGTCCAGACTGGCCTCCAACTCACAGAAATCTTCTTGCCTCAGTCTGCAGACTGTTAGGATTACAAGAGTATATTATAAACATGCAGAGCAATGATGATCAAATGTAATTTTGCAAATCCATAAAAAGGGTAAAACTAGAGTAATAGAATTATGCTAGAAGTCAGAACTGTGCTAGAAGTAGAAGCCTAATGAAATCCTAATAATATTTGAAGTTTTTGAGATGGACCTTCTTGGATATTTGCATAAACAACCCATTTATATAACTGTCTTATTAAACATGTATTGTCTCTCCTACCTCCTCTTGCTTATGCTTCATCCGCTGCCTAGAAAACACCCCTGCAGACAGATTTCAGGGTCTAACCTGAAAGGCACCTCCTCTCTTACGCAGAATTGATTGCTTCTTCATTTATATTCCACAGTATGTCCTCCCAAATACATGTGTTGGAAACTTTATCTAGAATGCGGCAGTGTAGAGAAGTGGGACTTTCGGGGAGGTGTTTAGGTTTTGAGGGCTCTGCCCTTTGGAATGATTAATGCTACTATAAAATGGCTTCATGAAAGAGTCTGGCCCTTTTTGCTCTTCTACCTTCTGCTATGTGAGGACATAGAATTCAAGGCACCAACTATGAAGCATAAAGCAGCCTTTACCAGATGTTGGAGTCTAGGTTCTAGAAACTGTGAGATATAAAATTTTATTCTTTTTAAATAACCCAATCTGTGGGGCTTAGCACAAAATGTACTAAGATACTATACTTTCTAAAGAACAATATTTGCTACAAAATGGTAAATTTACTGGTTTATTTCTATCCCAAAATTTTGTGTTTGATAAGGAAATAGGCAGAGCCTCACAGAACATACCTGGAATTCCAGCACTGTGGGAGCTGAGACAGGAAAGTACTAAATTCCAGCTCAGCCTGGGCAATTAAGTAAATCCTTATATTTAAAAAAAAAAAAAAGTAGGGCTGGGGATTTAGCTCAGTGGTGTCAATGATGGCAGGGTGGGGTGGGGTGAGTAGGTTGATGGTATAGTGAAGTACAAACACCATGGATTCAAGCCACAGTACAGAGAAAGAAAAAGAGAAAGAAAGAAAAAGAAAGAAAGAAAGAAAGAAAGAAAGAAAGAAAAGAAAAGAAAGAAAGAGACAGAAAAGGAGGAAAGGATAGGTCAAGACCCACGACAACCAAATACAAATGGTCCTTGATTTACAATGGCTGGACTCTTACAAATGCCCTTTCAGTTTTGTGGCTGCAAAGGTTATATTCCAGGTGCTCAACTACCTTAAGAAGGACAATCTTTTCATCTTTGCTCATATCTGAAAATAAAAGAGGTGAATAAAGATGATCCCTAAACTCAAATTGGGAAATAATGTAAAAATATACTATGAACCAGAAAACATTATTCTTCAAAATAACAGGGAATAAAAGCATATAGACTTTTGAGTACCACAGACTCCCAACTTCATGCAGTCTGTGCCTTCCACCTTCTGCCAAGTGGGAACAGAATTTTCCTCAGGAATTGACTCCATCTATTAGATTCACAAGCTTACTAACTGTACAGTTCTATACGATAGCCAGATTTAACTTACATGCCTATGTATAATCATCATAAAGTACAATGCTAGGGTTATTGTTTTTTTTTTTTTTTTTGTCGTTTTCCTTTTTACCGGTACCAGGGATCGAACTCATGACTGCCTGCTTGCAAGGCAGTTGCTTATGCCGCTGAGTTAAATCCCCAGGCCTGTTATTGTAAAAATTAAAGATTAACATTCTTTTTATGATACTATAAATAGAAAGAACCTTTAGGTTTTTGTTGTTGTTGTTGTTGTTGTTGTTGTTGTTTCTTCTGTTTTGTTTTTTGAGAAAGAGTCTCACTATGTAATTCAGGCTGGCCTTGAACACACTATGTAGTCTAGACTGCCATCAAATTCATGGCGATCTTCCTGCCTCTTCCACTCTGCTGGGATAATAGGCATGCAGCACCACACCCAGATAGTTTTAATACTCAACAAATCACCCCTTGGCTAAACTCCCTACAACTGTTACCCAACACAATCAGAAGAAGCTCTAAACTTCACATGGAAATCTAGAAGGTATACAGGACCTGAATTATCCCTACCATTTTGGCCCTTGTCTCCTCAGTTCTTTCTTGCTCTCTGAGTTCTTGCCAGGCACTCTGGTCTTCCCTCTGCTTATTGTGTAGCTCTCTGGATGGCCAGCTCAGCATTCTGATAATGGTTCAAAGCCTCTCAAATCTTGCTGATCAACGTCCTTAACCCGTGTCTCTACTCCTTTCTCTACTTCTAACCTGTCTCTACTCCTTTCTCTGTTCTCTTCCCTCTGTTCTCTTCCCTCTGTTCTCTTTTGTATTTTCTTTCATTTCACTGAAATTCTTTATCGATACCGGGGATTGAACTCACGACCGCCTGCTTGCAGGGCAGGTGCTTAGGCCGCTAAGCTAAATCCCCAGCCCCCTCACTGAAATTGTTAACTATCAATTTCTTTCCCATATGTATATACGCTCCCTGAAGGACTAGGCTTTTGTCTTTTTGTACTTGAATCTCCAGGACCCAGCACCAGAGCCAGGCAAAGTAAGGTCCAGGCCCTCAAGTGCAAAACTTCAGGAACCGACAAAAATTCCATTAATCAAAGCTGACACTATAAAGAAACGTTTCAAAAAATGAAAGTAGAAAAAAATCGGTAAACTCATTATAAAAATATTACATTAAGACAGAACTACCCAACACTTGTGTGACTCATCCTCAGTATGGCTCTGCTTCACATCGACTGCACAGAACACTGACAGTGAAGTACTAATTCATTCTTCCGGATGCTGCAGAGAAGCCCCAAACCACACAAGGCAGGACCAGGATCTTTTGAAGTGGACATCTGTTGGCTTCAGTGTTCCAGCCAAAAGCTGATTCCAGGGAACACACTATCACCGCTTAAAAGCTTGTGCAACTTGTCAAAAGTTTAGCATCACTAATAAATAAGGTAGACTTGTCATTGTCTCCTCTCCTCAGCACTGTTAAAATATTCGCCTGCCCAGGGACTTTCAACTCAATTAAGTAGGGATTTTACTTATTTACTTATTTATTTTTGGAGTAGGACTACTATTTCTTGCGCTTGGCTCACGAATGAAATGTCAGACGAGCATAAATACAAATTAAAAAACAAATCTTAATGCTCATAAAACACGAGTAGCTTAAGAACTACAGATGAAAACACGAATACAGTCTGAGTAACTGCTGAAAGAAAGGAAAAAAGAAAGAAAAAGAAAAATACACTTAGGCCCGCCCAAAACTCCAAAAACAACAACAACAACAAAACGCAGCCACAAATCTCCCGCCAAGGAGCGCAGGGCGTAGCGCTCCTCCGCTTTGCCGGGAGGGACGCACACCTACACGCCGCTACCTGTTTATCTCCCTCCCAGCCCAGCCCTCGGAGGAAACGCGGGAGACCCCAGGGCGCAAGCGCCAACCCGCCAAGTCTTTGTGTCCCCCCCCCCACCACCACCACCAAGGCGCCTGCGCGGACGTCCTGGGCAGGGGAAGGGCCAAATTTAGGAGGGAGCGAACCGCGCGCCTAAATCCCTGAGAGGCGGGCTACCTAGGGCTTGGGGGCAGGGCTCATCTTTCGGAAGGCCCACGTTTTCGGATGGTCAGAGTTGCTGCTCTTCGAACTCCCGTTCATAAGACGATCGAAGAAATTTGGATGTCATTTGTACCAATCAGAGGGCTTCAAGAAGCCGAAGCTGCCTTCAGGATGAAATTAGGACTTGCGGGAAGCCCGTTCCCAAGAAGGCTGAGGCGAGCGGGACCGGTGTACGCATGCGTGGTAGGCCCTCTCCACGTGCGGCTGGGCCGCCTGCTGTGGGCCCTGAGAAGCCCAGCCTCTGGCTTCAGCATCTTTCCGGACAGCAAGATGGTAGGGGGCTGGGCTTTGCCGCTAAGGCCCCGCCTCGCTGCTTCCAATTGGCTGTGGGCGAGCGAGTGCCCCCCTAACGTTTTCTTATTGGTGCCTGCTTACGGAGGGCGCGCCCTATTGGGCCGCGCGGATTTGGGCACCAAATTCAAAGATTTTAAAAGTACCAGCTGGCGCCTTTTAAGAGCTAAAGCTCTGTGGAGCGGACGGCCCGCTGTGCCGCCGGCCTCTGGTTATTCCTTCACCTGAGGCGGAACGCATGTCTGCTGGCATGAGCCGGCGCCCCTGCAGCTGTGTAGCACGGTCACCTTCCTGCTCCTGCAGTTTCAACCCAGTGACAGCGGCCGGGCGCCCTCGCCCTTCGGATAGTGAGTTAGGGGAGCGGGTGCTGGGGAGCGCGTTCTGGGAGGGCTGTTCGGCAAAGGCGCGCCTTGCGACCCCCCGACCCGACAACCCTCGAGCTCGGACCTCTGCTGCATACTCAAAGCCTCCTCTGGCGGGTGGCGGCGGTGACTCGGGGGTCGGAGAGAAAGCACGCTGGGGTTCGGAGAGGAAAAGCCAGATGTGCTGGGGTGAGATGGTGGGATAGCCAGATGTAGGGTACCGCCGGCCGTAAGGAGCCTGGGCTCCGACACCGGAGAAGTGCAGGTAGTGGCCGGACTAGACCAGACGCCCATTTTCTTTCCGGGAAGACCTACCTGTCCCCACCCCACTGAATGGGCGCCAAATTCCCCCTTCCCTCCCCCATCGGAATCCGCTCTGTGACAGGGCTGCAAACCTGCAGCCTCCGGTTCCGACCAGGTGCCTCAAACCCCTTTCAACATCTGTCAGGATCCTAGCTTCCATGATCGGTTTCTCTAGCCTTCCGCCTCCTGAGTCTTGGCGGGCGCGGGAGATCTAGGTTATCTCCCGCCTCCGCCTGTCCCGCGCCCGGAGGGACGTCCCACCCCCACCGACCTCTCAGGATTTCCAGGGTCTCGCTCCACTCCCGCCAAACGGAGAGATCCCCTCCCCATCGGACCAAACTGAATTGGAACATACCAACAAAAAGCGTAAATTTCCCCCTTTTTTCCCCTTAGCTTAATAACTATCTCAAAGCCTGGAGTTGAAAGGGAGAGGTGTTTTTTAAGTACTTAGTCCCTGTAGTTTTTTGCCGATTTTTTGTGAGAATTGAATTGGTTCTTATTTACCCTATGCCTTTGTAAAATTAGATATTCCATTATTCCACAGTTTGGGTCATTTCACAGCATAGACGCTAAATTTCATTTTATTGTTGCCATATTTAAATAAAATCCACGTGCATTCATTTTACCTCACATGGCTAGAAATGAAGAAAATAGCAATTTGATTTTGTATTTTAACAGTTTGAGAATGCCTCTTTCACTAGAAAAGCACCCGAGTCTTGAAAGAGAAATACTTAATTTTGATGGGCTAAGTATATTTGAAGAAGATCCTGAATTGTGTCTTCCCTTTGAAATTCTAAAGCTTGATTTTTATAAATTCCAGGTGATTTTTACTACTTTTTATCCTTAGAAGGTATTTGTTGTTTCCAGCTTTTCTTTTACTTGTTTGTAGGTGAGAAGACATTTAAAATTTCACATACTTTTTTAAAGTAGAATTTTGTAATTTGCGTGTAGATTATTACTGATTGCGACTTGTGGTCATGAGCCTTGGACCTCTTAAATTCTTAGGAAAAGCCATGCCTGAGCTTGGGTATATGGTGGTTATCTAGAAGCATTGAACAATGGAATTTAATCATGATTAACATACTGGAAAAGCTATATAGATTTTAAGCAGTGTAATTTAACTATATTAATGTGGACTGTCAGTTTTATACTGGAAAGTTAAGTGGAAATCTGACTATACAGTTTATTGTCATACTATTTTCTTGATTTGACTGACATAGTAATGAGAATTTTTTTAAAACTGCAAGATTTGTCTCAATAGTATCTCCATTTTAGGGGGAAAAGAATAATGAGACACATGACTGTCTCAGGTTACCAAAACTAGTCAAAAGGGTGAGCAGGGATTTTCATTTGGAACTTGAATCTGGTTCCTAAATATATGCTTTTGTGTGTAGCAGATCTTATTACTTTTATATGTTCAGAATTTGTAGGGAATATGAAGCAGTTTGACTTGCTGTGAATAATGTGGTAAAATAGATCCTACTGATTATATCTTTGTGATAAGGACTCTAAGGACTAGCCATATATTTATTTTGGTTTTTTCTCATTTTCTGAGTGGGGAGCCAAGACTTTAAGGACTAATTGGAGTGCCAGGGTTTTAAAAAAGTCAGTGGCATAGTACCTGCTTGGCAAGCACAAAGTCTTGAGTTTGATTTCCAGTACCAAAACCAAATTTATTTGTGTCAGTTTTCCCAAATTCTGGTACTTTATGTCTAAGGTACTTGAGTTTGAAATCCTAAGAATTTTCCTTAGTCATCATCCACATCCAAAGTACATAATCAGCTAAGTTTTGCTCCCCTATATAGTAGGAATAATCACACAATAACCACAATCCGACCCTTATACTAGGGATTGAACCCTCTTACATCTACCCATTTCATTTCCAGTGCAATTATCATCCTTGTCTCAGGTCCCCACGTTTGGACTCCTATGATGAACTCCCGTGTACCTTCCACAGCCTCTTCTGCACAGTTGCCAGTGTTCTTTTCAAAATGTAAACCAGACCTCTGCACTGCCTAGAACAATGCAAAGGCCAAGCTACTCTACACATTCTATAGATACTGTCCAATATTTTTGAGTCATTTTCCTAGCTAGGTTGCAGCAGCCCTAAATGCCTTACTTCTCCTTGAATACTTTATAGTTCTTATGTTTCTCTGAATCTCAAACTCTTCCCAACAAATATCCAGAGAGCTTTCAGATGTCAGAATGTCACTTTGTCAAGATCACCCTGAAAACCAAGCTTGGTGGCACACATCCTATATTTAAGCACTCTGGGAGGCAGTGGCAGGAGGATCTCAAATTTGAGGCCAGTCTGGCTAATTTAGTGACAGTGAGATCCTGTCTTAAAATTTTAAAAATACAAGAAGGGCTAGAGATGTAGCTCAGTGTGAAGGCTCTGGATTCAATCTCCAGTACTACAAAAAAAAAAAGGAAAAAAAGATAATAATAATCTTTTTCCCTTTCTTGCCCTGTCATTAAATAGATATTGGGTAAATGGATGTGGCAAGCTAGACACTGTTCCTGACAGGGTCTTGGTACAAAGTTCAGGCTGGCCTCAAAGGAACAGCAGTTTTAGCCATCAAATGTTGGGGGTGCTGGGATTACAAGAGTCCTTTACCATGCCCTGTTTAAGCTAGATTCCTTTTTTTTTTTTTGGTCTTTTTCGCTTTTTATCGGTACCAGGGATCGAACTCACGACTGCCTGCTTACAAGGGAAGCGCTTATGCCGCTGAGCTAAATCCCCAGCCCCTAAGCTAGATTCTTAACCTTCATGAGCATAATACTTTCTGCGGGGTAGGGAGAGCAGGATGTCTTGTTATGTATGTAGTTCAGGGTCACCTTGAACTCACTGTGTAACCTGGACTGACTTTGAACACACAGCAAATCCTCCTGCCTCAACTCTTGAATACTGAAATTGTAGGCACACACCACCATGCCTGGTCTCATCTAATTCATGTCATTTTCTCCATTTAAGGGTAATACTAGATGGAAAATATGAATATATATGTCTCTTTAAATTGTTTAGGAACACAGAATTTTGTCATTGGGAAGTACTTGACTAATTAAAGATGAGAAGTCAGTTTACTTCAGCTTCCTTTTTTGAAAGTGGTAGTATTCAATTTATTTTGCAATATTGTGGAGATAGGTTCACAGCAATAATCTCAAATTTTGAAATTAAGTATACAACCAACATTCTGGTTTTGGTTTCTAATAATTTTCTCTAATAAAAAAGAATCAGGAATATCTGGTACTGCAGAAAGTAATGAACACACAAAAAAACGATGCAAATGTGATTTGCAAGTATGACAAATGGACACCTAAGCCAACTAAAAAGGCTCACAACAGTGAAAATTAGGACACTTTCATCAAAACCTTTTGTTACTGGATTATGACTCAAAATCTTATGAGTCTGTTCCCGATTAGTGATGAAATAAGTGAAATTAAATAGGTAATTCTTCCATATAGAAAGAAGGATTATATATTTACTCCACTCAAAGAGGTATGCAAACTCATTACTTCTTGGAAGTGTGAACTTTCTTCTAAAGAGTATGAAAAGGGAAGGGAACACAGAGGAGTGACTTTACAGTGGGGAATATTGATCAGCACTTACTCAGATTGGTGATCAAGCTAAACATGGTAAAAGATAAGTTATAATATTTACTGCTGGGTGTGGTACCACATGGCAGTAATGCCTACACTGAGGAGGGAGGCTGAGGCGAGAGGATCTCTGAGTTTGAGACCAACCTAGGCTACTTAAGTGATTTCAAGGCCAGCCTGCACTACACTATAGCAAGACCCTGTCTAAAACAAAACAAAGGAAAACTATTTACTCTTAGTGGGATATGGCAACAATGACACTTAATCTCTGTGTTTTAAAAACCCACAACCTTAGACAAACTGAGGAAAAATATGCAAATCCCAACCAAAGGTCGTTCTTCAAGGGAAGTCAGGCTAGTTTTATTTTTGTTTTTATTTTCTTTAAGTTGACAGTGCTGGGTATCAAGGATAAAACCAGGACATGCCAGAGGTACCCTACCATTGAGCTATGTGCCCATCCTCAAGGCAAGCCAGAAATTGATAGAGCCAAGAAGATCTTGTGGAGACTAAGTTATCTTAGTTGGGATCCTGTAACAAAAAAACAAACAGCAGAAACTAAGGAACCAAGTTACATACGGATTTAAATTAGTATAATTCAATATTGGTTCATTGATTGGAACATGCCTGGTCCTGAGTTTGATTCTTGGTACCAAAAAAAGGGAAAAAAAAGTAAGTATACCTTTGAATAAAGAAATTCTGAAAGTAAAGTTTCAAACCCCTTTGGTTGGGCTGTTAAAGTAAAAGGTGTGTTTTTAAAGGTGAGCTTTACCTTTTTATAAATAGAGGTCCTCTATCTAAATTGATACGGTGGTATTCCTCCTGCCTCAGCCTCCTAAGTGCTGAGATTACAGGTGTGTGTCACCACACCTGATTTGAATTTAATTCTTTACAGTAATTAAAGAATAGAAAGCAATCTCTTGGCATTTTTTAAAAACTCTTCTGAGTAGCAGGGAACTACTAATGGTAATTTAGAAGTAATTGGAAAGCTAAAATCTGTATTCTTTAACTTGCTCTTTAGGCTGTAAACTCTTGGTTTAAATCTAGTTTTTAGGTTTATTCAAAAGTTCAGTGTGATCCTGGTGCCTATAACTATCTTTCATACTTAAACATTGGGAAGTTAAAGGCAGTCTCCATCTAGAAGGTTACTTGGCTTGACAGAAAAGTATCCTTTTATAGTTTGACTTAAAAAGTTTTCCACTAAAAGCAGTTATATTAATATAGACAAACTACTACCAGTTAGTACATAATAAGCTGGTCATACATTTGCTTATAGGATAAATTATTATTTACCCATGATTGGTTTATAGCAGGGATAAGAGATAGGCATGTTTGAAGCCTACATGAGGTCCACATTTAACCTGGCAGTGAAGACCCCAAGGCTTTCTGTGTCCTTATTGTTTTCTTCATATACTGTGTCTTCAGTAGTGGCAGGTGGTTTTCCTGAACTCATGTGCCATATTGTTTCTCAGTGTTGTACTTCTGCTCAAATTAGCTTCCAGGGAATGATCTTCCAGTTCCTACTGCCTGACGAAAAGTCTCAATCCTTTAAAGCTGTGGTCCTCAACTGAGGGGTGAAGAATGATGTTTTTCCATTGCTACCTGTCTTCTCTGGTATTTGACAGTAAATACTAGTTGGTGACATTTGGTCTTTGTTGCATCTTGAGGAAAGGGGATAGCACCTGCTAAACATCCTGCAATATGCAGTGTGGCCCATAAGAAAAGAATCAGCCAGTCCAAAATGCCAGTAGTTTAAAAGAGTCAGTAGCATGCTGGTTGAGAAACTATTTTAAAGTTACCTTAAAAATAAGTAAGTAAATTTATCTTAAAATGTTGTCTGCCAGAGTATATCAAAAAGTGGGGTTGGGAATATCAATCTTAACATAGTTTTTTAAGCTTAAATTTGAATCAGTAATGTATTTAGTGAATAATGTTCAGAAAATTGTATAACTTGTTGGTAATGTATTTTAATGCTGTTTATAAATACTTTGTATTTTGACAACTTATTTTAAAATAACTGAACAGTAACTTACCTGTTATCACCTCGGGGATTAAATCTGGTTTTTATGATGGAATGTCATTCTAAGTCTTTTGATAGGAGGCAAGATACAGCAAGGCATTGTACTTATGTGTGAGTTTACTATCCATTAGGGTACACAAACACCTTAAAAATATCAGATGGTCTCTCAGAACCCTGACTAGAATAAAACTTAGAGAAAAGAGCTGCTGGGTTCAGGTATACATTAATTTACAGATATTTAAATGCCATTTCAAGTCTAGGATATAAATACTCATTCTAGAAATATTTATGATTACTTTAAAAATACTTTCGACTTTAGAATCTACACTTGATGTATCATTTTCTCTCACTTGTTTCAGAAATACGAATACTTGTTTTATGGTTCTTTTCCCTAACATTCTTTCTTAACCAGACTTAGATTTGAAATAGATGATGTAGGGGCTGGGGATTTAGCTCAGCGGCATAAGTACCTGCCTTGCAAGCAGGCAGTCACGAGTTCGATCCCCGGTACTGATAAAGAGGAAAAAGACAAAAAAAAAAGAAAGAAAAAAAATGAAATAGATGATGTAGTTTTACAGATCCAAAATCCATCTGTTCTGAGTTACTGTTGTAGATACTGTTTGTATCTATATAGGTTTGAATCATATTTGCACACAATGTGATCATATCAATAAGCCTGGGTAATTTTATAGCTTTATAGACAGGTGCACTTAGGCAATGCATAGTGCTCAGAAAGTGCAAAATAATTAAATCTTCCCAACTTAGTAAAGATATGCTGAAATTTTACAGTTACAAAGTAAATGTTTTCTTTTTCTAGGTTATAAAGAAGAAAGTTCCACTGTTTATGTCAAAATGAAGTGTGATGTTAATTGTAACCATATTCATCCTGAAATTAAACTGGTAAAACCTGATGACAGTGGAAGACAAGGTTTCTACAGTCCTGCCTATTTGGAAGGTCCTTGTAAAGACTGCGTTAAAGACTATGAAAGGTTATCATACCTTAGGCCACCAATTGTGAGCCCTCGGATTGCGGAATTTGAAACGAAAAGCAAACCCTTGCATAACAAGGAAAATCGACATGTTGAACAAACACCTAATAGTTCAAATGAAATAGAAGAACTAGAGACTAATCGGCTTTATGAAGACAGCGGGTATGCCTCGTTTTCTCAACAAAGTGTCCTCAGTGAGCACGAAGAGGATAATCTCACTCTGGAAGAAAATTTCAGAAGCAGTCCACAGTCCTGCCTGCTACAGATACAAAGCCCAGACCAGTATCCCAACCAAAATTTATTGCCAGTTCTTCATTTTGAAAAAGTGGTTTGTTCAACATTAAAAAAGAATGCCAAGCGAAATCCTAAAATAGATAAAGAAATATTGAAGGAAATTATATCCAGTGGAAATTTTAGACTGCAGAATATAATTGGCAGGAAAATGGGCCTAGAATTTGTAGATATTCTCAATGAACTCTTTCGAAGGGAACTCAAACATCTCTTGGCAAATATTTTGACTCAGCTCAGTGACATGGACTTAATCAGGTAAGTGTACTGTAATCCACAGTGCATTTTTGATGGCTCATGACTACCAGCTGATATAATGATCTTTCTTACAATGTTTAATTGATGTAATGGCTTTTGCTATTAGCTAGTATTTTACCATCTGTGTGTGACAGCAAAAGAAAATTTTGTGGAAGTATACATTTAATGTCATTTTGAATTTTGTATGCATGCTATTAAAAGTTCATTAGATGGGTGACTTTTGTTCATTTTAATTCTGAAATTTCTAAATTATATCTTGGAGGACTAATTAAAGCAGCTTAGCTAAGGGTAGGGCTAGATGCCTATAATCCCAGCATCCTGGAAAGGCAGAAGGATCGATCACCAGTTTGCCCATCCCAGGCAATTTAGACCTTGTGTCAAAACAAAAAGGGGAGAGTATGTCATTCAGTGACAAGACCATAGATTCAATCCCTAGTACCATATACACACAAAAACAGGCCTAGTTCCATTCTGCAGATCTAATCATTATTATGACTTTGTTACCCATGAAGTATGAGATAATTTTCATTATTTTTAGACAATTGATGTAAGACTCTCCTCGAATTGGCAGTGGTTAAAATTGTGATGACTCACAAATAATGATCTAGTTATGACCATTTATTTAAAAATCTTGGGCTGAACCAGGTGACACACGCCTGTAATTCCAACATTTGGGAGGCTGAGGGCAGGAGTATCACCACACATATAGCCACTGGGCTATATAGCAAGGGGGAAATAAAAACCTGTTCCTCTTTGTATCAAGGAAAATCTATTAGGATGATACAGCTTTGAGAAATAAGATGATTATATAGGCTGCTGGATTAGGTTGAATTCAGCTCTATTGAGTTAATTTTCAGGCTTTTTGAAAAATTAGAAATCCTTGGCAAGTATAGTTTTGCTGTAGTCCTTATGAAATAGAGGTAAAGTGAAATACATAAGCGGTGATACTGCTTGTTGACTAGTTCTTTAAAGATAATTATCACAGATTGTACTTTTCTTTCAGGTTAATAACTGAAATTGACTTCTAATAGCAGTGAATCTCAAAGAAAGTACTTTGGCACGTGTACCTTTTAGCAGACATTTAGCATAGTGTCAAATACAGAATGCTGGCTATTTGATTTTCACATATACTATAAAAAAGTTAAAACAAAAGTAGTGGTTCTTAACCTGGAACTACTTGATAGGGAGCTTTTAAAATAGAACCCTGTGCCCCATTTTAGGCCCATTAAACCCAAATGATTAGGCATGGGCAACCTTAAATCTTAACTGCCCGAAGCACTGTTAGTACAGATTTCACTTTCGTGCTGTTATTTCTCTACTAGATTCATCTTAGCATCTTTGTCATGCTTTAATTGTTTCTTTTATGATCATTTATTTTCCAGTGTGTCTAAAGTGAGCACTACTTGGAAGAAGATTCTAGAAGATGATAAAGGGGCATCCCACTTGTACAAAAAAGCAATGCAAAGAGTTACTGTAAGTTTTTGTAGATGATGTTTGCCTTTTAAAATGCATTGCTATTACTCTTTTACCTTTCAAAATAAGTAGGGAAAAAAGGTAACCCAGAAACCCTTCTTTAAATTCACAAAGCATTTTAGCCTTTCAGAACTCAGTAAGGCACCAACTTCAAAAATAAAAAGCAAGGAATCCAAGTTGGTTGTTTATTTGTTTGGTTCAAGTAGAATGTTCTAGTCAATAAGGGAGGAATTAGAATATCAAAATAGAAATAGAATGTCCAAAGTAATAAGAAGGGAATTACCCAGTTCTCAAACAATAAGAGTCCATCTAGTAGATCTTAGCTGCCATTTGTGTGTATGTGGTTTATAGCCTTTGGAAATTTATTTGTATAAAATTTGTGTAGTGTTTTATTTGTATAGTGATTAAGAAATTGAGTTGTAAAAAGATTGCTTGTTTTGAGTAGTTACTAGCAAAACAGTAGATTTCAACATATTAAATTCATACTGTAGAAGAGAAAATGCATTTCTTTTTCTAAAATACATGGTAACTGTAAGAATCAAGATCTATACATGACTAAAATTTCAAGTCTTAAGAATTGGACACCCCGCGACTTAACCAGAAGTGCAACTTTAGATTAAAAGTAAATGGCTTAAAGTACCCAAGTTCACTTTGCTTATATTTTTTTAATTTAAACTGGTGATAAAGAGTCAAATCTAAGTGGATTTTAAATCTGCTTATAACTAAGGTAACATTTGACTATGGATACTGCCATCTTCTGGTAATGGGTGGAATGACCATTTGATTTGTCCATAGTACTTCAACTTTGGTTACTTACAAATCACAATAAAGAGCCTGATGTGGTACATGCCTGTAATCCTAGCACTCAGGAGGCTAAGGTAGGAGGATTGCTGTGGGTTTGAGGCCAGCCTGAACTAGATAATAAGACCTTGTCTTAAAAAAAAACAAAGCTATATATATAGTTACACACACATACATACAGACATATCATACAGACTACATGTATAAAATGATTTCTCAGTTTCTGGTTCATACTTTGTGTCAACAAACTAGACTTTCTGTGTCTGAATAGTTATGTGTAGCTGTATTTAAGCATGTGCAGGTAAGTTAGACCTTTTATTACAGAGGTAGAAACTAAAAGCTAACTGAATTTATCTAAGAATCTATCGTGATGACTATTAATGTTTTTGAATTAGGAAAAGAGCATTAAGTTTTCACCACATGCTTCAACCAGAGAATATGTTATGATCAGAACTGCACTGGCTTCTGTTCAGAAATCAGCATCCCAGACTCTTCCCAAAAAAGATGCTCAAACCAAGTTATCCAAGAAAGATGATCAGAAAGGTTCTACCTACAGTCGACACAGTGAATTCTCCGAGGTAATGTTGGCATTTATTGTTAAAAGGATTTAAAGTGAGAAATAGGAAAGCTTTCAAGGTAGAAATACAACTAGGGGGCTGGGGATTTAGCTCAGCGGCATAAGCGCCTGCCTTGCAAGCAGGTAGTCATGAGTTCGATCCCCGGTACCGATAAAAACTAAAAAGACCAAAAAAAAAAAAAAATAGAACTTGACTGTAGATAATAACTATTACATTCCATTCCAGATTATGACACCTGATACTGGTTTTCATTTAACTCTAATTGTAGTAAATAAGAATTTAAGGGGTTATTAATAGACATCTTCTATCCCCTCATTTTACTATAAGAGATGACTTGAAAATATCTTTAAAATTTTCACACTTTGCTGATGATATAGCTCAGTGGCACAGTGCCTGCCTGGCAAGCGTGAGATTGAGTTCAATCCTTGGTACCAAACCAAAACCCCCCCTCCCCATAACAGAAGAAGAAAACTAAAATTCTCACAGTACATTTTACAATTGCTGCATTTTGTAAGTAAAGGTGAGCTAAGCAGAAAATACCAGCTCTTAGTAGTCAAAGCTTCCTGCAGTGTCTTCACATCATTGGCTAACCTCTACTAAAAGTGCTGCTCATACATGAATAATCTTGTAAATTTAAATTAGAAAACCATAATCTTATATAGACCCTCTGTTTTGAAATAAAATGTAAGACTGCTACAGGAAAAAAAAATTGCCTTATATTGTGGTATGTGGGTTATAAAAGCAAATAATGGGGAAAGCAACCAGTTGTTAAGTGACAGACACCGGGAAGATGTTACAGAAAAAAGTGACATTTTAAGTTAGGGATTGGATTTGTAAATAGCATTTGTGAGAAAAAAGGCATGTCTAAAAGCAGTAGTGGCCATCAGACCCCTTGACAAGTGATGGCTATCTCTTGCCCAGTGAATGAGAGGATCCTTCTTGATTTTACTAAATTACAGTACTGTTATTCCTTTCTCATATTTATGGTTCTTTTATTTTTCAGGTTGCCAGGACTTTGAAAAAGAATGAAAGCTTAAAAGCATGCATTCGCTGTAAATCACCCGCAAAATTTGATTGCTATTTACAGCGTGCAACCTGTGAACGAGAAGGTTGTAGGTTTGATTATTGTACAAAGTGTCTATGTGATTATCATAGCACTGAAGACTGCTCAAATGGCAAGCTCCTAAAAACCAGTTATAAAATGGGTCCTCTTCCAGGTACTAAAAAAAGCAAAGAGAATCTACGAAGGTTGTGACCTTTAAATCAATTGTAAATGATCATGAAGGTTAATTAGAAAACATTAGGTTTTTATTGTAAAAGTAAATGTAATTTTTTTAATGTTAATATCTGGAGTTTTGTTCCCCCAAAAATAGAGGATAGACAGCCTCTTAAAATAGCATTTTACAATTTGTTGTGAAGAAGCTTAAAATTCTCAATACAATTTAGAAATTTTAAATATTTATACAAAAGTGAGAAAGTTACCAAAGATGATTTAGAGGATAAAATAAAATTGATTCAATTTCATTATAAAGCAAGTCCATCTAGTTTTGTCTAGACAATCTTAAATATAAATCTGGCTTACCACCTGTTAGGATTATATTTGCTTTATCAAATTAATACCAACTCAGCTATCAACTTCTGGACTTTGTTAATTTAAATGTTTGTCATTTGTTCTCAGTCTTTTTTTTTTTTGTTGTTGTTGTGTCTGTTTCCACAAATGTGTACTTTGTAAAATATTGCTGTCTTTATTCCTGAAGATATTTTTAAAACTATTTTATATGTGTGTAAATATTTCTATATTTTATGTGCCAAAGCAAGAAAATGTATATATATGTTAAAATAATTTTGCTTGTTATAAATAAAGTTGATAAAAACTGAATAATTATGCCTTTGATTTTTAGAAATACCTTAATCCTAGAAATAACTGAATTAGGAAGCTATAATCAACTGCATTTGTGTGAAGACACTGAATGTACTGGTTCTGTCCTTAGAGAGCTTGTGAGACCATGGCTCTACCTGTATACAAAATTTTTTTCTCTCAGCATAACTCAGTACTTAACATTGTTTGGTCTTGAAATAAGCATCTTGATAAAACTCAATATTGAAAAGCATAGTAAGGTTTGTTACACATATTGGCACAAATCTGCCATCATAATGAAAATAACTTCTTTCATGAGTTTTTCATGTCCCTTCACAATCCTGCTCATCTTGGTATTACTGATCTTTGATTACAGGTTAGTTTGCCTTTTCGAGAATTTAATGGAATCATTGTTTACTCTTATATGACTTATATGCTTTCATTTGTGCCTAATGATAAAACAGTTTACTTTAGTTGTTTATTTTTCTAGCTCTTTTTTTTTTTTTATTACTACAAAGTTTGTAGTATAATGTTTACATTCCTTCTGGGAATTGGGACATGTATGTGATATCTTTTAATTCTTTTTTCTCATCCCCACTCTCTTCTCTACCTCGCTATCTCTTGAGCCCCTTCCTTTTTTGTACATGTTTGTAATACATAAGATTTTTAAAATGCTCTTCTTACCCATTTTCACTTTTTTTTTGTTGGTATTCTGCCTTGTATTTGACATGTGTTTTTAAAAAATTCAGTTTACTGTTACATTTTAGGAATATATAATGATCATATTCTTTTTTTTTTTTTTTTTTTTTTTGTCTTTTTCTTTTTTATCAGTACCGGGGATCGAACTCATGACTGCCTGCTTGCAAGGCAGATGCTTATGCCACTGAGCTAAACCCCCAGCCCCAGGATCACGTTCTTCAAGGAGTTTGTACCCTGGTCCCTTCCTTCCTTTCTCCTCCCCTTACCCTTCCCATTTGAACATTTTCTTCCTATTTCACAGTATCTATTAGACATGTATTCCTCTGAATCAGCATATAGTCAAGTAATCTTTAAATCTACTTTGATCTATAATCTCTTCATGGAATGATTAGATCATTTTCATTTATAGGATTACCAACATGGATAGATTTAAATCTGTCATCTTAAAAGTTTGTTTTTAGTTTGATTTGCCTGGTTTTTAATCCCCATTTTTCTTTCTACCTTCTGGTTAAGTATTTTTTTAAAATTCCTTCTTGTCTGGTTTATTAGCTAATTTAGTATAAGGATGCTAGTTATTTTGGGATTTACAGAATTTCTCTTAAGCTTATTGTATCATAACTTCAAATAATATACCCCTTTACATAAATAAAGCTCATTTCGTCCCTCTTACTTATATGTGTGACACATACGTGTATATATTTACTCCCATAATGGTATGTTTCTTTATCAGAGATTTACATAATGACATTTTCTTAGGCATTTATATAGTTGCTATTTCATGTCTTTGTATACAAATATATCAACATAATTTTTCTTGTGCCTGAAGCAATTCCTTTCATTTTTTTTTTTTATAGTATGGATCTGTTGGTGATCTTTAATTTCTTCAGCATTTGTATGTCTGTAAATGTCTTTTACCACTTAGTTTATCTTTGATAAATATATGGGACACAATGTTTTTTTATTAGAAAATGATGTCAAGCATGTCTGTCACCTCATTTTTGTGGCGAAAGGATTTAAAATTGTTTCCTAAGTTTTTACATTGTAACTGTTATTATCAACAGTGTTATCATCCTGTATAGTAGATCTCCAGAAATTCTTCCCATTTAACTGAAACTATTTAATATCTCCCCATTTTTCATCTTTCTTCACATACCAGTCACAGGTATCTACTAGTCCACTATTTCTACAGTTTTGATTTTTTTAAGATTCTGTATACATTTGAAATCATGTAGTATTTGTATTTCTGTACCTGGTTTATGTCCGTGTAATGTCTTCAGGTTCATCCAGGTAGTTGGGAATAAGACTTGAGTAGTATTTCATTATGCATAAATATGCAACATTTTCTCTACTTATTCATCAGTTAATATTTATATTTGTTCTATATACCAGCAATTATAAATAATGCTGCAATATACGTGGGCATTCAGATATTTGTTGGCTATTTTTTTCTTTTTTTGAGACAGGATCTTGCTAAGTAGTGCAGGCTGACCTTGAACTGATCCTCCTGCTCCTGCTTCAGTCTTTGGAGTGCTGGGATCAGATATCTCTTAAATGTGCTGATTTTATTCTCTTGGATACATAGGAAGAGAATAAATTGCTGACTCATACCATATAGTTCTATTTTTAATTTTTTAAGGAACCGTCCTACTCCCAAAATGAATGTACTGATTTACCACCAACTGTGTAAATGACTCCCTTTTTTCCACTAACACTTGGTATCTTTTGTCTTTTTGATAAAAAGCCTCTCTAATATGTATGAGATATTTTATGACTTTAATTTGCATTTCCCATTGATTAGTGATGTGTGTTTAACCCCATTTGAGTTGACTTTAAAATATAAAGGACTTGCTTCATTCTCATACATGTGAATTTTCTTAGCACTATTTATTGAAGAAACTGTTCTCATGGTGTGCTCTTGGCACCTGTATTGGAGATCATTTGTGAGTTGAAATATTTCTGAGCTCTCTTTCATTATTCTATTTCTCTTATTTTTGTGGCTGTATTATGCTGATTTTATTACTACAGCTTTGTAGTAGATTTGAAGTAATATGAAGCCTCCAGCTTTGTGTATCTTGCCTAAGATCATTTTGACTTCACAGTCTTGTTTTTCAATGTTTTATAATTTTAAGTGTATAAATTTTTACCTCCTTGATTAAATTTATTCTTGAAATTATTATGCTATTGCAAATAGGATTATTTTCTGATTTTTTCCCCAGGTAGTTTGTTCTAAATATTTAGAAATGCTAAAGATTTTTGTATTTAATTTTGTATTTGCAACTTCATTAAAACAATAACCATAGATACAAGAACATCAAATTATAGGTTAATGTAAATAACATGTTTATGACCAATGAACACAGATACAAAAATCCTTAAAATATTAGCAACCTGAACTCAACAGCACATTAAAATGGTCATTCACCATGATCAAATGGGATTGATCCTTGAGCTACAAATCAAATACACATTAACGGAATTAAAAAAATGATCTTATAATGCATTTGCTAGATGCAGAAAAGAACAACAAAATTCATCTTTTCGTACTTAAGTTATAGAAGAAATACAAGGCACTATAATAAAGACTATATATAAAAGGCTCATAGCTAATATTCGGTGGTGAAATTCTTACAGTGAGCAACAAGAGAAGGATGTTTTCAATGTAGTATTGAAAATTCTAGCCAGAGAAATTAACAAAAAAAAAGCAAAAATGAGATATTCAAAATGGAAACAGACAAATGATCTCTAAAGCCATTAGAACTAATACATTAATTCAGTTTTTATAGTGTGTCACATGTTTAAGTTTTGAGATACAATGCATTGTCACAAAATCAGCCATTTTTAAGTATAAAATGTGAAGTTTTTAGTAGTGTGTTCAGCCTTGTGCAATCATTCTGCAGTATTTTTGTCACCCCAGATAAGTCCTTAATTCTGTTTTCTGCTTCTTTCCTAATTCCTATCACTCACTAATTTACCTCTTGTGTCTTTAGATTTGCCTTGTCAGACATTCATATAAATGGGATCATATGATAGGTGGTCTTTCGTGTTTGGCTTGATTCTATTAACACATTTTCAAGGTCATAATGTAGCATGTATAAGTACTTCATTCTTTTTTCTAAGTGAATGATATTCCAAAAGGTGTACCCATTTCATTTGTCCACTCATCTGTTGGTGGATATTTGGATTGTTTATATTTTTGAATAATATTTACAAAATGGATAGCTTATACACTAGTTCATATTTTCCTGGTTATTGTGCTATTATGATATTTTTATGATACAATATTTTCCAAAAATTAACAAAGTAATTATTAAAGCTTACTAAAATTTCTTTTTATTCCAACATCTAGGGAGTCTCTTGTCTTATGGACTGAATATAAATAAAATCTCTCATGAGATTCTTTAATTCATTCACATTGTGGCTGGTCCTGGCCACGTAATACCTAAACTGAGAGATTAACTGCAGAATGACTTCCTTTCTGGGTCACTCTAATTAAGCCACTGAGCAGTTTGTATTCTCACATGGTCATTCCTGGGCATTATAATATAGTGTTGGAACAACTAGTATTTTTAGTCAGTTGGAATGATCATTTAATGGGAAACGTGGTTCATTGAGATGCTTATTCTAATACAGAAAGTTAATGTTGGCAGCCCCATAGTAGCTTTGTTTTCACTAATAGATGATGGGGATTATATTTAACATTTTTCTGCTAAAATTTCTGAGTTCATATGCATTTACTTTTTTTTGCTGTTCCCCACAAAAAATATACTTCAGTTTCATATTTCACTGAAGCAAATACCATATTAATATATGAGCAAACCTACTTGCTATTAGCTAGGGTCCATGCTGGAGTGTTATCTGGCACCCAGAGATTAACATTTCATGTCTTTTTCCAAGGAATTTTGTCTGAACCAGTTCATATGACTTGAGGACCTGCTATAAAAATTCCATATAAGAAAAGAAGATTCTCCTACTAAAGTAATTCTTGAAATCCTACCCTGATCTTTTTTCAAAATCTTCTAACAGTGTAAACGCAACACCACAAGATGGTGCTCTTTTAACACCATCCTTTTCAGTATGTTCATTTGTGGAAGTTTAAAAATAAATGAAATATTTTTTATTCAATTTATGTTACTGGCTTAGAAATATAATATATACGAACAATATGAATTAAGATAGATATAGACATCATGTATGTATGTATAGGTAAAATGCTAATCAGTAATACATAATACATGTTAATCATATAATGCTAACTAGGATAGATGTAAAGGACACAATTCTTGTATCTTTTCAAGAACATTTTAAAACATTGTTGACATTCAAAG